AGCAAAATGCTTGTTGAAATGTTCGATTATCGTAGATTTATTGGTAGTGACAGTGTTTCCTAGCCTCAGTGCAGTTGGCAGCTGGGAGGAGGTGCGCTTATTCTCCATGGACTTTACAGTGTCCCAATTTTTTTTGGAGTTAGTGCTACAGGATGCACATTTCTGTTTGAAAAAGTTAGCCTTTGCTTTCCTAAATGATTGTGTATATTGGTTCCTGACTTCCCTGAAAAGTTGCATATCGCGGGGGCTGTTCGATGCTAATGCCGTACGCCACAGGATGTTTTTGTGCTGGTCAAGGGCATTCAAGTCTGAGGAGAACCAGGGGCTATGTCTATTCTTAGTTCTGAATTTTTTGAATGGGGCATGCTTATTTAAGATGGAGAGGAAAGCACTTTTAAAGAACAACCAGGCATCCTCTACTGACGGAATGAGGTCAATATTCATCCAGGATACCCGGGCCAGGTCAATTAGAAAGGCCTGGACCCATTACGGACGCAGGCAATGAGGCAGTGATCGCTGAGATCCTGGTTGAAGACAGCGGAGGTGTATTTAGAGGGTAAATTAGTCAGGATGATATCTATGAGGGTGCCCATGTTAACGGATTTAGGGTTGTACCTGGTAGGTTCCTTGATAATTTGTGTGAGATTGAGGGCATCTAGTTTAGATTGTAGGACGGCCGGGGTGTTAAGCATATCCCAGTTTAGGTCACCAAGCAATACGAACTCTGAGGATAGATGGGGGCAATCAATTCACATATAGTGTTCAGGGCACAGCTGGGGGCTGAGGGGGGTCTGTAGCAAGCGGCAACAGTGAGAGACTTATTTCTGGACAGGTGGATTTTTAGAAGTAGAAGCTCAAACTGTTTGGGCACAGACCTGGATAGTATGATAGAGCTCTGCAGGCTATAATAATAATAATAATATGCCATTTAGCAGACGCTTTTATCCAAAGCGACTTACAGTCATGCGTGCATACATGTTTTTTTTTTTTTGTGTATGGGTGGTCCCGGGGATCGAACCCACTACCTTGGCGTTACAAGCGCCGTGCTCTACCAGCTGCGCTACAGAGGACCACAGAGGACCACCACTATCTCTACAGTAGATTGCAACTCCGCCCCCTTTGGCGGTTCTATCTAGACGGAAAATGTTGTAGTTGGGAATGGAAATGTCAGAATCTTTGGTGGCCTTCCTAAGCCAGGATTCAGACACTGCTAGAACATCAGGGTTGGCTGAGTGTGCTAACGCAGTAAATAACTCAAACTTAGGGAGGAGGCTTCTGATGTTAACATGCAAGAAACCAAGGCTTTTGCGATTACAGAAGTCAACAAATGATAGCGCCTGGGGAGCAGGAGTGATACTGGGGGCTACAGGGCCTGGGTTTACTTCTACATCACCAGAGGAACAGAGGAGGAGTAGAATAAGGATATGGCTAAAGGCTTTAAGAACTGGTCTTGGGTACAGAGAAAAAAAGGGGCCTATTTCCGGGCGTTGTAGAATAGATTCAGGGAATTATGTACAGACAAGGATATGGAAGGATATGAGTGCAGTGGAGGTAAACCTAAGCGTTGGGTAAAGATGAAAGAGATAGCATCACTGGAGGCACCAATTGAGCCAGTCTCCGCGTGTGTGGGGGGTGGGACAAAGGATCAATCTGAGACAGGTTGAGCAGGACTGGGGGCTCTACATTGAAAAAGTACAGTTAGAACTAACCGAAACAGCAATAGGCAAGGCATATTGACATGGGAGATAGGCATAAAGCAGTCACAGGTGTTATTCGAGAGATCTAAGGCAACAGCTGGTAATGGCGACGAAAGTTTGAGCTGAGGTTAAAAAGATCAACAGGATGGGGTACCGTAAAAAGGAACAGTCCAGCAGGCATCAGCTGTGTAGCTGAGTGATCATAAGGTCCAGTGAACAGCAGTAAGTAAGTCCGGGAGCAGTTCAGTGGCTGCTACGCTACAGTAGGAGGTCCCGCCCGGTTGACAGAGGTAGATAGCCGGGAGATGGGCCTGGCTCGAGGCTAGCTCAAGGCTAACTGGGGTTAGCTTCATGACAGTGGTGATTAGCCAACAACGACAACAGCCATTCGGTTGCAGCTAGTTAGTTGCGATGATCCGGTGTAAAGGTCCAGTGATTCAGTGATTCCGGCAGAAAATCCGATATGATCTGGCTCGATAGCGCGATGTGCAGACTGGCCGATAATTGTCAAAGGCTAGAGCTGGCTGGTAGGTAGTGCAGGCCACGGCCACGGACAATGGTGAAGACCGCTAACGGTGGCTATTAGCAAGTAGCTAGTTAGCTGGCTAGCTGGCTAGTTTCAGCCAGAGGTTCTGGATAAAAATGTATGAAGAAATAATAGAATCCGTTCCACATTGGGTGAGGCGGGTTGCAGGAAAGTATATTTAGTTAAAGGATGGAAAGTGAGATTGAGAAATATATACGAAAAATACAAAAAAACTAAAAATAGGCTATTTACATAAGGACACTACAGAAAACACAACCGCACTGCTATGCCATCTTGGAACACTCAGTATATATACCCGCTGATACATGAAACCAAAACTATCTTATGCCTGAAAAACATAGAGTAATATCATTAATAACCAACTACAAATAACGAGCTAACCAGGAGATTATTGATGCCCCATGAACCCAAATGACCTGTGCCAGTAACATACTACTCAGCAGAACTCACTGTAATAATGAATCTTTACCGCCACCTAGTGGAACGGTGAGATATTTTCATGCTGTGGTTGTCAACCTTTTTCGGTTACACTACTACCAACTACATTCTGCTCTGCTCGGAGTACCCCTGAAGTACCCCCTCATATGCATTTAGGCAGTAAGCCTATGGTCTCATGAGTCTTCTTAAGAACCCCCTGTGGATAGGCAATCACCCCTAGGGATCCTAGTACCCCTGGTTGAGAACCCCTGTTTTAGTGTGTATTGTGAACAACAAAACTATACACTGAGTGTACAAAACATTAGTCAAGTTACTTTGGTGTAGGTGTGTGTGATGTATGACGTGACTGACTCAAGTGAAAACATAACAAGCCTCAAGTTGTTAAGTAGGCTACTAAAGTTTAAAGCTACATATACTTTCCCCACTCTCTGGAGGCATGATATTGTTTAGTCAGTGAAGCAGCTAGTGCGGGCGTGTGCCTCATGATAGTAAAAGCAGCCAAAACAAACATGTCTGGTTGTGGACCGCAGCTTAGAGAAATACTTCCCCTTCACACTCACACACAGGCTGTTTCTATATAAACAAACATCAATAGAAATGGTTACTAAATGACCCTAAAATAAGACATGATCCAAGGTTAGTGTCCTCCTACAGTATGTCAGGACTATGGAACACCACCCAGAGTGTCAGAGCCCCAGACATCCTATTAAACATGTAACTCTATACTGAGAGCAGTGTTTTATATAGAAAGTTGTGCCCATGCCATGTCAATGCTCACTCCTTGACCCTAATGTAGTAAGGCAGGGAAGACAGGAGAATGGTACTGGCAGGAGTAGGCCTGGAGCACAGCAGGCAGGAGTCAGGTGTCAAAGACTAGAGACAGTTGTTATATTTGTTTATTAGCTAAAGAAAACTGGAACCTGTTGCATGTGATAAATCTGATACACAATGCACAATAAATATCTGAGCTGAAGTTAGCTTTTGTAAGTCCACATTCTCCTTACACAGCAGATGTATGGAGCAGTGATTAAAGTCACTGTTGCCTAGCAATGTGTATTTTTCTTTGGTTTCACATGTTCTTCATAAACAACACCTCCTTCCTGTGTAGAACAGTTACTGTGAACTAACAAAGAAGAACGTGATCAGTCTTACGTCATCCCAGGGCTGCCAACTCTCACGCATTCCATATGAGGATGTGGCTGCAGTGAGGATGGTTGGCTGTTTGTCAGGTTCTGGCCAGAACTGATGAAGAATTCACAGAGTCCACACCCCTTCCTGTTCTTGGATGTCTTTAAGCAGGGGTCTTGCAGATAAATGTACGGTGAGGTCATAACTCTGTAGCAATCAAACAGCAGTACGAAGCTGTGTGGTTGAGCCTATTGGCTGAGTGGTTGGGCCCAGGGTCGGCTCCAGGCATAAGTGACAAAAAACGTCGCTAGTCCCCCCCCCCATTCACCCTCTGAATGGCACACATACACAATCCATGTCTCAATTGATTTGTTTAACACTTTTTTGGTTACTACATGATTCCATATGTGTTATTTAATAGTTGTGATGTCTTCACCATAATTCTACAATGTAGAAAATAGTAAAAATAAAGAAAATCCCATGGATGAGTAGATGTGTCCAAACTTTGGACTGGTACTGTATGTATACCCCGATATAAGTTTCATAGTTGTTGTGTACTAACCAAATTATACCACAGCTGAGCTCATTTATAGACCACTACCATCACCTGCTGGTCACAAATACATTTCCTGCACTACAAATGTGAATATACACTCAGACCAGCATTTTCAAAATATAGTGTCTTTACACAAGTTTGTATAAAAAAATATTTATTTAATTCTGACAAAATTATTTACAAAAACCCAATACTTTTTATAGACACACAGCTGAAAATGAGAACAAAATACTGCACACATCCAAATAACAGTAAAATAACAGTCCAGGCTTCTCCAGCCTGACTAGGGGAACAGGGGGCTAGCAGTAAGGCCCTGGGGTAGTGGGTAAGAGGTTTGTTTTAGGGGAACAGGGGGCTAGCAGTAAGGCCCTGGGGTAGTGGGTAAGAGGTTTGTTTTAGGGGAACAGGGGGCTAGCAGTAAGGCCCTGGGGTAGTGGGTAAGAGGTTTGTTTTAGGGGAACAGGGGGCTAGCAGTAAGGCCCTGGGGTAGTGGGTAAGAGGTTTGTTTTAGGGGAACAGGGGGGCTAGCAGTAAGCCCTGGGGTAGTGGGTAAGGGGTTTGTTTTAGGGGAACAGGGGGCTAGCAGTAAGGCCCTGGGGTAGTGGGTAAGAGGTTTGTTTTAGGAGCAGGCATATCAGTTGCTCTGGACCAGAAAATAGCTTGTGTTGTTAAAGCGAATAACTTCCTCCTTCTCCTCCTCCTTCTCCTCTTCTTCCTCCTCTTCATCCTCCTCCTTCCTCTCTTCTTCCTGTGGGACAGGTTCCCCGTAGATTGGGTGGTCAAAGTTCACGAGGGCATGTCCTTCCTGGGTAGGCGGGGCTGTGACTGGGGGGGAGGGGCCAGAAGGAGAGGAGGAGATGGGTCTCAACCTCCACAGTTTAGACATGAACTTCTCCCTGTGTCTGAGAGCGAGAGAGAGAGAGAGAGAGAGAGGGCGGGTGGAGGATGGGGGAGAGAGAGAGAGAGAAGAGAAGAGAGAGGAGAGAGAGAGAGAGAGAGAGAGAGAGAGAGAAGACCTCGAGATCTCAGAGTCTCAGCGCTAAGCGAGAAGAGAGATAGAGAGAGAGAAAGAGAGACTCTCTCGCTTCCGCTAGAAGGCTCTCGCTCGAGCTCGCTCCTTTTTCCCATATGTAGAAATGCCTCCGGACATGTCAAGAGAGGGGAAAGTATTTAGATTTATGTTGTGCTTGTTGTTTCTGTAGATGACAAAATGAACAGCTAGTTAATAAACTAATGGTTAATCATGATAACCATAGACATGTACAGGACAGGGTTTAACATAGTTGGACATATAGATAAAGACAACCAGGATTGTTCAGACTGAATATAGTAGTTATTAGCGTAGTGAGGATGGGAGGATCAGAGTGGGGGTGAAGAACAGAGGGGAGTTGTTTACCTGTAGAGGTAGGCAGAAAGCAGAGTGATTGACAGCAGCACACAGGAAACAACCACCCACAGGACATGAGGCCACACCTCCTCTACATCACCCTGAGACTCAGAGACTGGGAGGGAGAGGGGGAGGGGAGTGAGCGAGAGAGAGGAGAAAGGAGGGGGGAGGGAGGTAGAGAGAGAGGGGGAGGGAGGGAGAGAGAGAGAGTGGGGGTGAAAGGCCATGATATTAATAAACTGTTACACTATTATACTGACTTGTGTGTGTGTGTGTGTGTGTGTGTGTGTGTGTGTGTGTGTGTGTGTGTGTGTGTGTGTGTGTGTGTGTATGTGTGTGTACAGAATTTGTGTGAAACTTAAAGAATGGGTTGAGATGAGTTGGCCCAGGTTCTGTGTTTCCTGAAGCACGTTCAGTTGATGAGGTTATGACATTAGCTTCCTGTTATGACCTTCTGTAAGGTAGGGGGATTTCTGACATTGAAATATCAGACTTAACTCTAACACACACAGACACACACAGACACACACACACAAACTGTAGCTTCAACCAATCAACATACAGTAGCTCTCTGTCCCACTGACCTGTTCTCTCTTCTGTCATACCAGAGCCAGAGTCTGTGTAGTCTGTGTAGTCCTGCTGGAGGGACAGAATGAAACAATGTGAGAAAGAAAGATGAAGTCAAACAGAGAGATTAAACAAAAAGGACAACTGTGAGTGTGTGTATGTGTGTGTGTGTGTGTGTGTGTGTGTATCTTACCATAACAGTAGAAAGATCGCTCAGCGCAGTTGGCACAGGGGCTGTAATAAAGGACATTCACCATGAACCACACAACTGTTCACATGCACACAGCTAACTGGCTAATACTTACATTAGATTAGAGGAGTCTGTGTGTGTGTGTGTGTGTGTGTGTGTGTGTGTGTGTGTGTGTGTGTGTGTGTGTGTGTTTGGATAGGCTGGGGTACATCAATAGGATCAGTTGAAGGGCAAGGGAGCTTAACAGGTAAGTTGTAAAGCTCTGTAGAAAGTATCTGTTAAGACCAGAGAACATAGCAGAAAGGAAGGAAGGAGTTGTCATGGCTACCTTTGTCTATGGGCAGGATGGTTCTAGTTAGCCTGGTCCTGGATGATAGTATGGAAGAGTTGAATTAAGCACGTACAGATCTTGTGTGTGTGTGTGTATGTGTTACCTGTCCAGGTGTTGGCGTAGACAGGCGTGCTCCATACACTCCAGTGGCCATCAAACTCTTCCTTAGCTCTGAGTTGGATCAGGTACGGTACTCCTGGCAACGCATCTGTTATAGTGTAGGACCGGGCTGTGGTGATCCCTTTTATCTACACATACACGAACACACACACCCACACACCAACTCGCACACACACGCACACACACCCACACGCACACACACACGCACACACACCCACACGCACACGCACACACACACATACACACACACACACACACACACACACACACACACATGCACACACACACACGTTTGTTTTAATATCATTATTCACATTCTACATCCTATTTTCCCTAACCCCTAACCCTAAACCTAACCTTAACCCCAAACCCCCAACCCCTAACCCTAATTCTAACCCTAACCCTAATTCTAACCCAAACCCTAAAGCTAAACCCTCAGCCTAAAATAGCCTTTTTCTTGAATTGCCATTGTTTTACTAACCTTGTGAGGACTTCTGTTCACCACAAGGATAGTAAAACCAAAAACACACACACACAGATTATAAAATAGAAAAAGTAATGTCTGTTTGTATAGAGAGCCAGAACAGAGCAGGCCAGGTGAACAACATGGGCCATTACACAAACACACAGACGAACACACGCACGCATGTGAACACACACACCTGTGTTCCGTGTGGCATGGTGTGGTATCTGAGCTCATAGAGCAGCTCGTGGTAGCGGTCTCTCTCTTTCCAGGAGTGAGGGACAGCCCAGCCCACCCTCAGTCTCCTCTCCTGCCCCTCCACACCCCTCACCACCACTGAGCTGGGGGGGTCCGGCTTAACTGGAGGCAGGGAGACAGGGAGGGAGGGAGGGAGGGAGGGAGGGAGGGAGGGAGGGAGGGAGGAGGGAGGGGAGAGAGAGAGAGAGAGAGATGAGGAGGTGAGATAGGGGGAGAAAGAGAGGGAGAGAGTGGGAGAGGAGGAGGAGAATGTCAGTAAGGTGTCTCATTGAATGGTCTGTTATACTTCAGTCAAAGCAACTGTGCAGAAAGACAAACATGCACACAAACCTATTCTCACATACATACACACACACACAAACACACAGGGATGGAGGGAGAATGGGGAGGGAGGGGGTTCAGGAGTCTGAGCGTCTGCTATGAGAGAGAGAGAGAGAGAGAGAGAGAGAGAGAGAGAGAGGAGAGAGAGAGAGAGAGAGAGAGAGAGAGAGAGAGAGAGAGAGAGAGAGAGAGAGGAGAGAGAGAGGAGAGAGAGAGAGAGAGAGAGAGAGAACTTCATTTTGGGGGATGAGTAATCCCTCAAAGGGTAGGTCTATTCAGTGAAGTACTGTGTTAAAAAATCAACAGCTGACTGACTCAAACTACAGCTTTCAAAATAAAGGTCTGATACTCATTAATGTTACTATAACATTCACACACACACACTCACCAATGTCCTAGAGGTGTGAAGTCTAGGAGAGGGCTGGTGGTGTTGCCAGCATTGTTGGTGACACACAGGTAGGCCAGGTGTGGCTCTCTATTCTCTTTCTCTTGGTGACCTATAACACACCAACACCGAGACAGCAGGGGGGAGTAGGAACAGTTGACACGAGAGAATGACCCTGAGAGACTGAGAGAGAGAGAGCGAGAGAGAGAGTTAGTGTTCCACCCACACTGCTCTGTCGGAATCATCTGTATGACAAAGTAAGTAATTTAAGACAAATGAATGAGAAAGAAGAGGGTGATGAGGAAGAGGAGGGTGATGAGGGAAGAGGAGGAAGAAGAGGGTGATGAGGAAGAGGAGGAAGAAGAGGGTGATGAGGAAGAAGATGGAGAAGAGGGTGATGAGGAAGAGGAGGAAGAAGAGGGTGATGAGGAAGAGGAGGAAGAAGGAAAATAAGATGTGTGCTCTCACCCTTTCCGTAGGAGGAGGTAGCACTGAGGGACAGGAGTCACCGGTTGACTGGCTGTCCAATCACAGCGGATCTTACTGCTGGGTGACCTCTTATAGCAGGACAGTTTAGGCCTCTCTGGAGGAACTGAAAGAAATTTCAGGGGAAAATCCATAATGTTTGTCCGTTGTTCTTATGTGACCATGAATGTCTGCTACTGATACACACGTCACAGAATACATACAGTACGGTTGTCAGCTTCAATGACCAGAGGTGATGAGGTTAGACAGAGTGATGCCATCAGTATGACTCACCTGCCACGCTCACCCTCAGAGAGGAGACCAGTTTTCCCCCGCGGTGGCAGCTGTAGTTCCCAGAGTCACCCACAGCCAGGGAGGACAGGGTCAGAGTGGCGCCTCTCCTCCCCAACACCACCACTCCTCCTCTTTCCTCTCCTCCTCTCAGCAGCCTCCCGTTCAGTCTCCACTGAGACCTCCCTCTCAGCCCCCTCACCTTCCTCCCCCCATCCTCCTCTTCCTCATAGTCATCCTCACCGTCCATCGCATCAGTCCACCGATCAGAGGGCAGCTCAGTGTCAGCACCTCCCACTCCGCTGTCTCTGGTTGGCTGGAGTGATGCCCCAGTAGAAGGAACCTGTTTCTGTGTAGCTGTATGTCCTGGTTGATTGACAGTGTAAAGACTCAGCCCTGTATCCCTCTGCTCTCCTCCTCCTTTGTACTCCTCCTCTGTTACATTTTCCACATTCTTTCCATTCCCATTGTTAACTTCTCTCACAGTAAGAGGAGTGTGGTCTCCTGCACGAGTGTTCCTGATGACGGTTTTCTCCATACTGTCTGTCCTGGTATCATCAGGAGTGTCTGTAACGGTAAGGACAATGATGTCCTTTCCGGTAGAAACAGTGTATTTTCCCTTATCACTGCTATCTTTTATAGCACTGACTGTAGTTCCGTTAGCGCTGGTGTCTGTTGTGGTGCTGACAGTGGTGGTGTGTACTCCGGTGATGGCACTGGTGTATTTTCCATTTCCAGTGGTGGTGGTATAGCTGCTGCTGGTGTGTTCGGCCCTGTTAACCGTCACCTCCAGCCCGTTCACCTCCACCTGCCCACTGCAGCCCAAGACCAGAGCGCTGCCTGGGGACAACACCAGCACCCTGGGAGGGGGGTCTGGAGGGAGAGAGAAAGACAACGTGTCAATACTATACATGGACACACCCAGGCATGCAGGCACGCATGTTCCCTTATACACACACACACACACACGTTGAGGGTATAGGTTGTGGTTGACTGGGCAGTACAGATAAACTAAGAGAACACATTGCATAACTGTTCACCAACCCCTCTCTCACTTCCTCTTTCAACACATCCCTTCTTCCTACCTCTTTCCCTTTCTCTAAGTCTCTCTCTCTTCCATCTCCTCTCAGTATTTATCTTTTCTCAGCCTGTCTCTTCTTTAACAAACTCTCTTTCTCTCCCAACCTGTCTGTTATTCTGTTTTTCACTCCTCCTCCTATCCCTCCACCCTCTGTCTGTTATTCTGTTTTTCACTCCTCCTCCTATCCCTCCACCCTCTGTCTGTTATTCTGTTTTTCACTCCTCCTCCTATCCCTCCCCCTCTGTCTGTTATTCTGTTTTTCACTCCTCCTCCTATCCCTCCACCCTCTGTCTGTTATTCTGTTTTTCACTCCTCCTCCTATCCCTCCACCCTCTGTCTGTTATTCTGTTTTTCACTCCTCCTCCTATCCCTCCACCTCTCCCACCAGTAAAGCTCAGTCACAGAGCTACAAAACATCGGTCTAAATGTTTACTGATGAACATTCTTTACTTAAAATAAAAAAAGAATATAACAATCTCTCTGTCGCTGGACCCAATCTCTATAAAGCTGCTGTCACTAGAGTCTGGATATTCTCTATAAAGACCGGCAAAAGCCAAACTGATGACACCAGCTGATCATGTGAAAGAAACCCTGTAGATACATCATTATTTAGGGGTTTTGACAGATCTTTGGCTTGTTTGTTTACCCATGGGTCTGAGTAAACATGATAGGCTCCAGCCTTGAACATGTTGGCCTAATGCCAATACTGTTCCCAGGACCCTGGACTTTCGTACTTATAGTCTCATGTTTAGAATGTAATATATATATTTTTCATTTACAAGTGATATACAGTGCATTCTGAAAATAATCAGACCCCTTCACTTTTTCCACATTTTACTACATTACAGCCTCATCAATCTACACACAATACCCCATAATGACAAAGCAAATTTGCTAATTTATTTCAAATAAAAAACGGAAATATGACATTTACATAAGTATTCAGACCCTTTACGCAGTCCTTTGTTGAAGCACCTTTGGCAGCGATTACAACCGAGAGTCTTCTTGTATTTGGGGAGTTTCTCCCATTCTTCTCTGCAGATCCTCTCGAGCTCTGTCAGGTTGGATGCACAGCTATTTTCAAGTCTCTCCAGAGATGTTAGATCGGGTTCAAGTCCGGGCTCTGGCTGGGCCACTCAAGGTCATTCAGAGACTTGTCCCGAAGCCACTCCTGCGTTGTCTTGGCTGTGTGCTTAGGGTCATTGTCCTGTTGGAAGGTGAACCTTCGCCCCAGTCTGAGGTCAAATCAAATCAAATCAAATGTGATTTGTCACATGCGCCGAATACAACAGGTGTAGACCTTACAGTGAAATGCTTACTTACAAGCCTTTAACCAACAATGCAGTTTTAAGAAAGAATACCTACAAAAAAATAAGAAATAAAAGTAACAAATATTTAAAGAGCAGCAGTAAAATAAAGATAGCGAGGCTATATACATGGGGTACCGGTACCGAGTCAATGTGCGGGGGCACCGGTTAGTTGAGGTAATTTAGGTATTATGTACATGTAGGTAGAGTTATTAAAGAGGATATGAGGACCCATGCAAAATCTTTTCAGTCTCCTTAGGGGGGATAGGTTTTGTCATGCCCTCTTCACGATTGTCTTGGTGTGCTTGAACCATGTTAGTTTGTTGGTGATATGGACACCAAGGAACTTGAAGCTCTCAACCTGCTCCACTACAGCCCCTCGATGAGAATGGGGGCGTGCTCAGTCCTCTTATTTTTCCTGTAGTCCACAATCATCTCCTTTGTCTTGATCACGTTGGGGGAGAGGTTGTTGTCCTGGCACCACACGGCCAGGTCTCTGACCTCCTCCCTATAGGCTGTCTCGTCGTTGTCGGTGATCAGGGCCACCACTGTTGTGTCATCGGCAAACTTAATGATGGTGTTGGAGTCGTGCCTGGCCATGCAGTCATGAGTGAACAGGGAGTACAGGACATTGTTCTTAGGTGGGGCTAGTTACCCCCTAGTATCCTATCTCTGTGAAATGTCAACAGAGCACTGAGCTTACCAAAAGCTTTTTATTTTCAAAGCCTTTTACATTTAATTCAGTTCATGTCATGTTAATTTAGCTTTTTGCGACCCGCGGAAACAACTTTGCAGATGACCACCACAACATGTCAAATCCTCATTAGTCGCTATGAGAAAGCAGCACCGCTCTGTCAACAAAGTTCTGTATTTATGTTACGAAATCCGACTTTTTGATTATAATGCTAATGATACACTATCAGTGGTGGGAAAAGTACCCAATGGTCATACTTGAGTAAAAGTAAAGATACCTTAATAGAAAATGACTCAAGTAAAAGTGAAAGTCACCCAGAAAAATACTACTTGAGTAAAAGTCTAAAATTATTTGGTTTTAAATATACTTAAGTATCAAAAGTAAATGGAATTGTTAAATATACTTAAGTATCAAAAGTAAAAGTAAAAGTATAAATAATTTCAAATTCCTTATATTAAGCAAACCAGATGGCAAAATTGTATTTTAGTTTTGTTAAATTTACGGATAGCCAGGGGCACACTCCAACACTCAGACATAATTTACTCAGACATAATTTTCAAACGAAGCATTTGTGTTTAGTGAATCTACCAGATCAGAGGCAGTAGGGATGACCAGGGATGTTATCTTGATAAGTGTGTGAATTGGACAATTTTCCTGTCAACATGTAACGAGTACTTTTGGGTGTCAGGGAAAATGTATGGAGTAAAAAGTACATTATTTTATTTTGGAATGTAGTGAAGTAAAAGTAAAAGTTGGCAAAAAATATAAATAGTAAAGTAAAGTACAGATACCAAAAAAACCTTCTTAAGTAGTACTTTAAAGTATTTTTACTTAAGTACTTTACACCACTGTACACAATATATACAGAAGTATGTGGACACCCTTTCAAATTAGTGGATTCAGCTAATTCAGCCACACCCATTGCTGACAGGTGTTTAAAATTGAGCACACAGCCATGCAATCTCCATAGACAGACATTATCAGTAGAATGGCCTTACTGAAGAGCTCAGTGACTTTCAACGTGGCACAGTCATAGGATTCCACCTTTCCAACAAGTCAGTTCATCAAATTTCTGCCCTGCTAGAGCTGCCCTGGTCAACTGTAAGTGCTGTTATTGTGAAGTGAAAACCCCTTTTCCATCGGTTTATCCAGAAATAAAAGCCTTTACTTATGCCAAAATGTTAAGAATGAAAATAAAATAAAAATGCATCTATGCCTTCATTTCCCCCCCCCAAAAAATATAAACTCTTAGCTTTCATTTGACACCCAATTTGATATGCTCCTATGAACTTCATTGGGACTTTTTGATGGAAATGCCCCTTGGTAACATTTATTTTATAACATAAGGAAAGTGACATTTCATCACCAAAGCGAGTTTTCACCCGCTCTGGGCAGAAATTAAAAGAATTAGCCTACAAGCATGAAACAAAATCTATTAAATATTTGATTGATATAATCCAATAATAAAATAAGCCTACCTCTCCTTGGACAGGTCCCGTCCAGAAAGCAGTGGACTGGCAGCGCAGACAGGAGAAGCGTCAGCCTGATCCACGATGGCATCTTTACGCTTCTTTAATACGAGTCATCTCTCTGTGTCGGTAAATCCAATCACACCGTATCAGTTGAGTAGATTATAAAGCTGCTCCCTTTGAGACATAATTTAACACTCAATTGAAACGCAGACAAAAAAAAAAGTACAGGCTCTCCAAGCTAACTCTCCACTGGACTGAGTCTGGATTGCCGTTATGAGCAGCTGTTGATTTACATAACTCCAATAGATCAGACCAACTTCTGTGTTTTAATAAAATAACAGAAGCGGAAGACATCACCAGGGGCGTATTCATTACGGCGACGGTGTTGCAGAAACGTTGCAAACGACGAAACGGGGAGGGACCTAATTACTCCCCAGGCACCAGCTAAATGGACCATTCCCAAAGTAATGTTCCCGCTTTAGCGGAGAGTGCATTCACGGTAAACGCTGCATGTCGGCTCAATCGGAAATTACCTTTACATTTTTATCCCGCAATCTGTAACGATTCAGCGATACAGATTGAATAGAGCCCTAAATCTCAGTTTCTTCTGCTCAGACAACATGGACTCTCAGAAATCTGACATTGCGAAAGTACAGATAGTGTCGTGTCCCTGTGTCAAACTCCTTTCCAGATAAAACTGTCCATGTTTGAAGGGCGAAAGGTAAGAGGCACTTTTGCGCACCCTGCGCGCTGGGAAGAGTATGTGCCAAAACAAACACTAGGCTTACGGGAGAGTCTGAGCAAATATTTTGTTGTAATCTTGACATGTCCTAATGACAGATGGTCAGTAATAATAATCTGCTTCTCTGAAGGCCACGTCTGCCTTGTTTTGCTCTTTTGGTTACGGAGATAAAGCCCGGGTTGCGGTTAAGAACATTGAGACAAACGTCTGTAAAAAGTGCTATATATGTCGATTAGATTGATTGTTTCCCTTATTATAAACATTATTCCCCTTACAGTCACACTACAAATGAAATCATACTTTGTCAACTGTTATAATTATATTTCAGTTGACACTGACACTTCCTCTTTGGAGTGACAAAGACTTGAGAAACTTTCTTAACTTAAACGTTCTCACTGAAACCCAAGGTCAACCTCCTGTATCTATCTATAACACCAGTGCTTGAAGCAGACTGAAATAGGTGACAGTACTTATTTTGGGTGCCGCTACTGTTTATAATTAGGTGACACTGGCAGAATGCCACAATATTTTAGCCAAAACTCAAGCAGTAATTCATTTGAGGTGCGAAACTCAGTACTAGAGTGTTCTGGCCCAATTCAAGTACTTTATAACACTGACCAACACAATCTCACACTCAATTCGTGCAAATATGTACAAAAAGTATTTCAGCAGATTTCGTGCATTTTCGTGCATTTTTGTGTGGCTTAATTCGTGTGAAAAGACACACATTTTTGTGCGACTTCATTCATAGGAAAATACATTTTTGGCGGTCAAACTTCGGAACAATATTTTGAGTTACTAGACCAAAAACAAAAGTGTATTTTCACAAAAATTAAGCCACACAAAAACGCACAAAATCTGCTGAAATACTTGATATATTTGCCCAAATTGAGTGTGAGATTGTGTTGCACTGACTTACAGGTGGAGGTTTGCGCCCTGTACAGCAGGGAGAGACAGGTCCTGCAGAGACACAGCGTGCTGCTTTCACCCTATGATTTTTCTAACCAGAGGCTGTATGCTGTATACAGTGGTATTCAATCCTTTTCAGCGGGGACCCAATTTTTTCCGCCACAATTTCTGGAGAACCCATATTTTTCACAATCATTTCTCGCCACCCTACCCCACACCAAATCTAATAACATAACCTTAAAATCTGTAAATTCCGATTTTTACATCAACAAATAACCTTCAATTCATTACATTTTCATCTCTTATCAAAATGAAAATAAATCAATAAATACATTTACTCAATAACATTTTATTTTTCAAATGATCTTTCTCCAAAACGTTTTTATATTGTCCCATACAATAATCTGTACTGTTTTGTTCCAAAAATATATATACTTTTTTTTTTTTTTTGCTGCGACCCAACTGCAGTTCACTTGAGACCCGGACTTTGAATACCACTGCTGTAGAGTATAACAGCTGTCTCACCTGGTTTCACCCTATATCTTTCTAACCAGAAGCTGTATGCTGTAGAGTACAACAGTGAAACCATCATTACAGTGGCCCTAGAGGACTGGATTTGTTCCCCCCTGCTCTATAGAAAGAATACGTTACATGATGACATGCCTAGTAGAGGGACGAATTGGGTTGATCATCATTACTCTGGATTTATTAAGGCTTAATAATAATATCCCCAGATCCCTCCCTCCCAAGCCTCCATTCATTAACACATTCTCCTGTTCCTAGACCAGCTCAGTCTCTAGGTAACTACAGGTTACTGTGTGACTGTATAAGCCTATATTAGCACACTTTTTCCACACACTCAGTCCTCCCCAAAGTAACATGAGGCCATAAAGACCTTATTGTCCATTGTCTCTCACAACGCCTCAGAGTCAGTCCGCCCCAAAGCAACATGGAGGTCCAGGTTTTTGTTAGAAGTCCATCTCCCCTCTCTTAAGAGTCTGAGATATAACTGTAGTTCTGTCTGTGGGCCCAGCAGCAGGTCACCAATATGGTGCAGTGGAGGAGGATGAAGAAGAACATGATGAGGAGAGTCTTGCTGTGTCCTGTAAGGTTAAAATGGTGTTCTCACTGAGAACTATAGTGAACACAGAAACTCTGCCCATGAACTTATGACGACATATACTACAACATTCTAGCATCCTGCATTCTTCACAGTCATTGGTTGGCTGACTGAACCCCTCAGTCTCCTGCCAAGTTATTGGCTGATTCTCTCATCGTCCTAAAACAACAGACGGACTATGTATGTGAATATTTCAGTCAGACAGACAGACAGATAGAGAATGCACATTAGTATGTACCCATAAGAGTGTAGGATCGTGCAGACCAAAAGGTAAATACTGTTTGGTTTGACTAAGTCTTTGGGCATGGTGACACAGCAATATGTAATCATGAATACAAAGACCATGACCACTGATAAGGTTCTAGAGACATTCCTCATCCAGAAATACTGCACAGGTTAGAGGGACATCTCTACACTACTGCATCGGTTTACACCGCATTGGTTTACACTGTGTGATACATTTTTAGTGAAGATAGATAGCGTAACTTGCCCTATTTAAGAGATGTTTTATATGATTGGTTAACAGCTGGATACATACAGGTTTATTGGAGAACCATGTCTAACAACAGATGACAACAGTTGATCATAAAAACCTCTCATTCTGCTATTTCATCTCAATTCACCAGTAACCTTTTTGATTATCATATACTGTACTGCACTTGATTATCACATGAACCTCTCTTCTGTCATAAAGACTCAATTCAATACTTTGTTTTGAACCCATCTGATATCATGTTATGACATATGATCTATTTTATACATAGTATAGTCATGTCTGAACCACAGTGGTGCTGATGGAGTCTGGTTTCTCTCCAGGTCCCTGTGGGACCAAGGTCTTTAGCAGATGGTTACATCATTTGCATGAAGAAGTGCTTCTTTCAGTCTGCCTCATTAGTTGAGAAAGACAGAGAAGTTGGTTCTCTTCCTAACCCAGGGCGTGTGCCATTCCAAACATTCCAAGTTCAGTATTCCAAACATTCCATGTTCAGTATTCCAAATATTCCAAGTTCAGTATTCTTCAAGTATTCCTAGAGAATCCAGTGGAATATGACAGCCGTCCGTCCGTCCTTCTGTCCTTCTTCTTTCTATCATCTGTCCATCTGTCTGTGTCTCACACGGCATGGTTAGTTTCCTTGGGAACGGGGGGAGGTCCCGGGCTGCTGGTTCCGCTGATGCGAGCGGCGGCACCCCTCCAACCAAACAGAGCATCCTACAGGACAGGTGGAAGAGACGGTTACTGATGTGTGTGTTAGGTTGTGTGTGTTAGGTTGTGTGTGTGTGAGAAACAGATTAAAGAAGATGACAGTATCTCACCTGTACAGCTCCCAGACTAAGGTTCCAGCCACCAACCGAGTCTCCCCCAGGACTCCTCACCGAGGTGGGGGTGAGAGAGTCGGCAGAGGGGACCTGGGCTGGAGCTAACGCTGGAGGTGTGTTTGTGGAAGGGACACCAGCCGGCTGTGGGAGTATGACAGGCGGCGTGTGTGTTCCCTCCTCCAGGGGCGTATCCTGCGACCCCCCCAGGAGCGAGGATGAATTCGACAAGGGGGGAGCCGATCCTGACACATAGCTAGGTGCCGGGCTGCTCTCTCCCGAGGCGCTCTGCGGGGGGTGTGTGTTTGAGTGTTTCTTCTTGCGCAGGGTGTCTATCCAGCTGGAGCTGTGTCTGGAGGCGAAGTTGGCCAGGGCCAGGGAGGACAGTCTCATGTTCTTCCCAGAGGTGATGAGCTCCCCAAAGCCCTCCTGGTGGGCAAAGGCATAACCCGACCTCCTGGACCCGCCCCTCGCCCCCAGACGACCCTCAGGCACGCCCCTGACTCCTCCCATGCATCGACCTGCCGGCTTCCTCGTCTTCTGACGCACCAGCTGGGTGTAACGCACCTGGAGGGGGGAGAGGGGTGATGAGGAGGGAGGAGGGAGGTAGAGGGGGAGGGAGAGGGTAGCGAGGACAGAGAGGAGTGTTATTTCTTAGTATAAGGTGACATTTAGGGTTTAATACCGGTGACCTTTAGGGTTTAATACCAGTGACCTTTAATACCGGTGACCGGTATCCCAGGACTTCCCGTCCAAGCTCCTTCCTGTTTTACGATAAAAATATTGATGGGTCCCGTGGACCAATAATATAAAAATGTTATGCGCACTAATGCAAAAATACAAAATATGCACGTGCGAATAGCTGCATGCATGAACAAATCAACTCCCTGGCTTCATTCATAACCTACATTAGACCAGTCATCACAACGCTAGCAGCCTACCATATTTAGCCTATTGGCCTACTCAACATAAAGTCCTCAATAGAAAACTTCACTTACATGCATGACTTCTATAAATTGCATTGCTGACTATCATGTGTAGGCTACACACGACCTGTTGACGCAGTTACTCAAGGCAATCTCCATCTCACGTTCACAAATTAACAGCGATACTCACTGTTAACAAATGGCTGGTACATTGTGTCAACAAACGCACTTGAGGAAATAGACATTTGCAACATTGTTCCATGATGTCACAATAACAAAAGCGAGTTCATGGGCTGAACTAGTCCGATTGGTAGGGATTTGATCAACCTCTGTGCTGTTCTCCATGGTGCTGAATATCCACTACTAGGCCTATTTGCTTGTCTGTTCAGCGGAGAATTGGATATGTTCCCTGTGACAGTCACCACAATAAGCAGGTTATCATAAAGTAAAAACAGCCACAACCTTCCGAAATCCCCCTGATAGCCAGGTGCAAGGGGAGGGAAAAGGGCCAACAAGATGGCTGACATCTTTCAGTCAAAGGTATGGGTAAGCTAAAACAAACCCAATTTTCACTAGGCTGTAGGCTAATAACCTCATCATATTGTAGCCCTACATTTAGGCTACATCAACACATTGTGTGGTGACTTTGACAGAACTTTGAGTTGAGTAAATTGTGACAAATACAACAAGAAACCATTCGATTATTGTCCGTATTTCTCAATTTACAGTGGTATAATCATGTTAGATTTATTTAGCTGGTGTTATATGCTTTTAAATAGCATTTCCGGTTTGAACAGGAATACCGGGATATTACCGGGATGGTTGCAATTTTCTCGGGAAGGAAAACGTGTAGAATGTTTCAGGAGAACATTAAACCCTAGTAATAATGACGTATTATAAGGTGATAGGGACAGCTGTTCTAGAGGGTATTAAGGTATATTAATATCTGTAGGTTAGACACAGACTCGTTCTGAGTCAATATTTACATAGAAGAGATGTTACGGGATACAGAGAGCGGTGGCATACGCACAAACAGTTAATCATTGGTAGAGTTAGGGGACATTGGTCTGATTTCAGTCACAGCAATGAAGAGACAAACAGACAGAATCACAATAGTATAGAGAGAAGACAGGAGGCATGGCTGACAGACTGATGGACAGACTGATAGACAGACTGAAGATCAGACTGATGGACAAACTGATGGACAGACTGAAGTTCAGACTGAAGAACAGACTGAAGGTCAGATTGAAGATCAGACTGAAGGTCAGCTTGAAGGTCAGGCTGAAGGTCAGGCTAAAGGTCAGACTGAATAACATATTGAAGGTCAGACTGAAGGTCAGACTGAAGATCAGACTGAAGAACAGACTGAAGGTCAGATTGAAGATCAGACTGAAGGTCAGATTGAAAGTCAGATTGAATATCATACTGAAGGTCAGATTGAAAGTCAGACTGAAATTCAGACTGAAAATAGACTGAAGGTCAGGTTGAAAGTCAGATTGAAGGTCAGGGTGAAAGTCAGATTGAAGGTCATACTGAAGGTTGTACTGAAGGTCATACTGAAGGTCAGACTGAAGTACAGACTGCAGTTCAGATTGAAGAACAGATTGAAGGTCAGATTGAAATTCAGACTGAAAGTCAGACTGAAGGTCAGACTGAGTCAGACTGATGTAGATGAGCCCTGAAAGACTTTGAGATAGGAACAGTGTATCATAAAGAAGTGGTCATGAGCCAGCATCCTTTCTTCATCCCTTCCACTGATTTCACGACTGAATTTAATTTAAATTCCCTGTTTTCACCTATCCAATGTGTTGGATCAGTGGTTAGTGATTAGGATCAGTGGTTAGTGATTAGGATCAGTGGTTAGTGATTAGGATCAGTGGTTAGTAGCTTAGCGGTTAGGTTAGGTTAGTAGCCGGGCGGCAGGTAGCTTAGTGGTTAAGAGCGTTGTGCCAGTAACCGAAAGGTCGCTGGTTCTAATCCCCGTGCCGACTAGGTGAAAAATCTGTCGATGTGCCCTTGAGCAAGGCACTTAACCCTAATTGCTCATGTAAGTCGCTCTGGATAAGAGCGTCTGCTAAATGACGTAAATGTAAAATGTAATGTTAGTGATTAGGATCAGTGGTTAGTGATTAGGATCAGTGGTTAGTGATTAGGATCAGTGGTTAGTGATTAGGATCAGTGGTTAGTGATTAGGATCAGTGGTTAGTGATTAGGATCAGTGATTATGTGATGATGTGTTGGATCAAGGAGGGAGGAGGAATGTACAGTGTGTGTGAAATGTGTGAGTGTGACCAGAAGCTTAGTGTTGTCACCGTGTCAGAGAGCTGTGTGAGTGTGACCAGAAGCTTAGTGTTGTCACCGTGTCAGAGAGCTGTGTGAGTGTGACCAGAAGCTTAGTGTTGTCACCGTGTCAGAGAGCTGTGTGAGTGTGACCAGAAGCTTAGTGTTGTCACCGTGTCAGAGAGCTGTGGTTTCAGGTCCAGTTTGAGGAAGCGGAAGGCCAGAACTGGAACGATGCAGATCACTGTGGCCAAGGCGATGGTCAGCCACACCAGCGGCTGGACCAGTGTGCTCTGGGCACTGCCTATGAAGTGGAACTGGTTGGGGAAGATGCTGAACAGAGTCTGGCTGTGCATGGCCAACATGATGGTGAAGAAGGAGCCCACAGAGCCCCACACAAAGAAATGGTTGATGGCCGTCCAGTAGCCTGTGTCAAGAGCAATCTACACACACACACACACACACACACACACACACACACACACACACACACACACACACACACACACACACACACACACACACACACACACACACACACACAAGCAGAGGTAGAGAGAGATTTAAGCAATAAGGCTTGAGGGGATGTGGTATTGTATATGGGCTGTATACAACGCAGAGTAATTAGAAGAGTAAAAATACATGTTTTGTCATACCCATGGTATACGGTCTGATATACCACGGCTTTCAGCCAAACAGCATTCAGGGCTCGAACAACCCAGTTTATAATCGGGTGGTTCGAGCCCTGAATGCTGATTGGCTGAAAGCCGTGGTATATCAGACCGTATACCATGGGTATAACCGAACATTTTAAACAGCCGCGTGTATATCAGACAATATACCACGGGTATTACGCTAAAGTACTTGTTTACTGTTCTAATTACGTTGGTAACCAGTTTATAATAGCAATAAGGCACCTCAGGGGTTTGTGGTATATGGCCAATATACCACGACTAACGGCTGTATCCAGGTTGTACTCTGAGTTGTGTCGTGCGTAAGAACAGCCCTTAGCCGTTGTATATTGGCCATATACCACAAACTCCAGAGGTGCCTTATTGCTATTATAAACTGGTTACCAATGTAAATAGAAAAGTAAACAAGTACTTTAGCGTAATACCCGTGGTATATTGTCTGATATACACATGGCTGAAATGCTGTTTCATCCAGGACCCAAACTACCCGGTTTATCATATGTAATAAACCTTCAAACACACATGTTGCCTACAGGAAGTGAATACTACAGTCCTACCCCCCCGCTCACCTGCACACTGACGACAATGACGAGGGCGGTGGCCGTGGTAACAGCAAAGGTCTGGTAGTCGGCGAGGGGTTCCCCGGTGCCCTGGGTGCCGTGGGACAGGATGGCATAGGGTACGAAGAACAACACAACACTAGTGTAGATACCCTGGGTTATACAGATGAAGAACTCTCTCTTGTTGAACAGCAGGTTGAGCTGACCTGGCTCATACAGCTTAGGATACTCCAGACTACGCTGCTCTGGGACGTCCTACAGACAGGGGGAAAGAGGAACAACCAGGGGTCAAGGGTCAGGGGTCAAAGGGTACAGAGTGTGTGTGCGTGGGAGACTCACCTGGTCAAATATTCCCATGGCCAGCACAGGGAGAGAGGTGTAGACGATGTTATAGAGAGTGATGAAGTACTGATCATATACCGTCTGGAAGAGAGAGAGCGAGAGAGAGAGAGAGAGGGAGAGGGAAAGAGGGAGAGGGAGAGAGAGAGGGAGAGGGAGAGGGAGAGGGAGAGGGAGAGGGAGAGGGAGAGAGAGAGTGTGGGAGGAAGGGAGAGAGAGACACAGTAAGAACGACAACCTCTCGTGATATCCAATTGGTAGTTACAGTCTTGTCCCATCGCTCCAACTCCTGTACGGTCTCGGGAGAGGCGAAGGTCGAGAGCCATGCGTCCTCCGAAACACGACCCTGCCAAGCCGCACTGCTTCTTGACACACTGCTCGCTTAACCCCGAAGCCAGCCGCACCAATGTGTCGGAGGAAACACCGTACAACTGGCGACCGTGTCAGCGTGCATGCGCCCAGCACGCCACAGGAGTCGCTAGAGCGCGATGGGACAAGGACATCCCGGCCGGCCAAACCCTCCCCTAACCCGGATGACGCTGGGCCAATTGTGCGTCGCCTCATAGGTCTCCCGGTCGAGGCCCCGGGATCGAACCCGGATCTGTAGTGACGCCTCAAGTACTGCAGTGCCTTAGACCGCTGCACCACTCGGGAGATAACCTCACCCCATTTAAGCCCCAATCTAACATCATGCCCCATGAGTCTTCAGTTCAATCCTTATAGTTCCTAACGCGGTCTTTCGACAGTGAAGGCAAAGTTATTTATCTCAACCCAACCTATAAAACCCTTACCCCTCACCTCTAAACCACTGTTCCTGATCCCTCACCCCTGACCTCTCACCTGGGCAGAGAAGCCACAGAAGAAGCCAAACCAGAAGTGCACCATGGTGAAGGCAAAGTTCTTGTAGAAGAAGTAGCAGAGGAAGCGACACATGCGGAGGTAGGACCAGCGCCCATGGACCAGCAGCAGGCGCTGGAGGAAGCGGAACTGGGAGAAGGAGTAGTCAGACGCCAGCACTGCCTGGATGCCCTCCTGACCACTGATACCCACTCCTATATGAGCCGCTGGGAGGGGGAGGGGGTTGAGAGAGAGCGAGAGAGGGGGGGGAGAGGGGGGGAGAGCGAGAAACAGTTAATATAGGATATAGGAGACGAGCCAAGGACAGGGAGCAACTGTAGACAATTGAAAAGTGTAATCATCAGGTGTGTTAGTGCTGGGCTGGCACAGAAGCCTGCTATGCTCTGTCCTCAGATTCAGGTTTGGTAACCAGTCAACAAGTTGAGTAATCGCTCACAGGTTGAGTAATGTCTCCAAGGACATGGTGTCGAGCCCAGAAAACAGGATGTGAAACCACAAGGACCTCTCTTTCCTCAGAGGCCTCCTCTCTTCTGCTTTTCATACACACACACACACACACGTACACACGTGCATGCATGCAGGCACACATACATACACACAATTGTGAAAGACATGGTGAGGCGTGAGAAAAGAGGACCTAGGGAGAGAGAACTACACATAAACAGATAAAGTGGGGATTCTGGGGACTTTCCATTAACTTCCAAATAGACTGTGCTGCCAGAGCACTTTTACTTCAATATATCTCCTCGTTCCCCTTCTCTCTCTCCCACTCAATTCTTCCCATCTCTACCTCTCTGTCATCATCTCTGCCAAGCACCTCTGTCACTCTCCCTTCCTCCATCCCTCCTCTGACATCCTCTCCTCTCCTCTCATCTCCCTTCCTCCATCATCATCTGACATCCTCTCCTCTCATCTCCCTTCCTCCATCCATCCTCTGACATCCTCTCCTCTCATCTCCCTTCCTCCATCCATCATCTGACATCCTCTCCTCCATCCCTCTAACTTACTCTTGATCATGCTAACATCGTTAGCCCCGTCTCCTATGGCCAGTGTGACAGCCTTCTTGTGTTTCTTGATGAGCTCCACCACCAGGGCTTTCTGTAGGGGAGTCACCCTGCAGCAGATCACTGCTCTACAGGCACACGCTGTCGACACAAACTCCCCCTCCATATCAGCCTCCAACGCATGGGCCTGACACAGACAGAGAGAGAAGGAGAGGGAGGGAGAGAGAGAGAAAGAAAGAAAGAAAGAAAGAAAGAAAGAAAGAAAGAAAGAAAGAAAGAAAGAAAGAAAGATAACTTTTCATGTTGACATTTTTTATATTGCACAGGTAGTGTGTCCAGTGTAGAAGTGTTTGTATACCTTGTGTTTGAGTCAATTATTTATATATCCACTAGATTACTAAGGCAGTTGTTTTGAAGCCACCGCGTCTCCATCTTGGCACTCCCTCACCAGTGTAAAAAATATTTTGGAAGCTATAGAAATGCATTTACTAATGTCTACATTTGTTTTTGCCATATTTATTATATTACAGACACCTTAATGCATACTTTTAAATTATATTATCTGAGCTAAACATTTAAAAATATATATAAAACATTTTACTTAAAGTATAATTTTACTGTCCCCACTACAACAACAAAAATACTTAAATACTTACATGTAATTTTATCCTCGAAATAATGTACAACTTTAATTTTAATGGAGGACTGCTCCTTCTGGGGAGTGCCAATATGGCCGACCAGTGGCTTCAAAGCCTCTCATTGGCCATTACATAATAACAGCAATCCAGGGTTTACATATATCATTGGTGTCAGTGTGTGTGTTGTCTCACCAGGCTATGTCCGTTGATGACGAGGGCGAACTCTCCAGATATGGAGTCTAGCGTGGTGGAGGAGGGGGGTCGAGGGGGAGGAGGGCCAGGGGGAGGGGGACACGGCTGCTGTTTCTCCCCCACGGAGGGCCACTCTCTCCCCCCCACTCCCCCGTCCCCCCCTCCTCCCCAAAAGCCATTCCCCAGAGAACAGGCTTCGCCCCATCCCTCCATCCTCTCCTCCTTTCCTCCCTCTCTTGTACGGGCAAACTCTATCATCCTCTCCCTCGCTCTCCTGGAGAGAAAGAGAAGAAATAATAACGAGGAGAAATGACAGGAAAGGAAAGAGAGATGAGTGTGAATGGTTGATTAAAAGATGGATGAGGGAGGAATCCAGAGATAGATGGATAGAGGGAGGAATAGAGAGATAGATGGATAGAGGGAGGAATAGAGAGATAGATGGATAGAGGGAGGAATAGAGAGATAGATGGAAGAGGAGGACTAGCTAGGGAGAGGAATAAGAGATGCTGATGATCGATAGGGCGAATAGGAGCTAGCGATAGAGGCGGAATCGAGCTCTGATGATAGGGGCGGCCCGCCGATAGAGCTGGGGTAGAATGCGCTCGCTGGCTCGCGGGCGGATCGCGGCTCGCTTCGCGCTCGCGCGCTCGGGCTCGGGCGCCTCGGAGCTCGCTGGCGGCGGCTCGTAGCGCTAGTTAGATGAACCTGAGTTCCTCTCTAACACTCAGCACTGTCTGTCCACTGATGATGAACACCTCAGTCATATCACCAGTCAGCATCTTACAGGAGTAACCTATATTAACTGCTGTCTCTGAGTGAGAGTGAGTGAGATAGAGAGAGAGACAGAAAGAGAGAGAGACAGAGAGAGAGAGAGAGAGAGAGAGAGAGAAGAAGAGGAGTGAAAAGGGAAAGGAAAGGTTTAGTGTTTATTCTAGTTTGAAATAGCCAGCTCTATTTTCCATAAAACCATCCAGTGTGTGTCTGTGTGTTTGTGTGTCTCACCCTGTTTGTCTCCCGTGAGGACCCAGATCTTGATGTTAGCGAGAGAGAGGATAGCGATGGTCTCTGGAACTCCCTCCTGTAGCTTATCCTCTATGGCTGTGGCACCCAGGAGCTAGAGTAGAATAGAGCAGAGTAAAATAGAACTTTATTGCCAATTACAGAAGTTGATAGGAATTTATTTAGGTGCCAGTGATGTTACAGAGAGGACACACATGCTCACGCACACACACACACACGCTGAACCCCCCCCCCACCCCACCGTGCACACACACACTCACACATGCAGACACCACCCCCACACACACACAGACAACACAAACACACACACACATACAAACACACACAGCGTGGTACCATCATGTCCTGTTCTATGTGTTCGTATGTGTCAGCCAGTCTGTCCTCTCTACAGTCTGTAGATCTGTCTGCTTGGCGGTGTCTCTCTGACCACTCCTCCCACTGCTCCTCTGACAGGTCTCTGTAGGCCAGGGCCAGGGTCCTCAGACCGTCCCCAGCATACTCCTACACACACAAGGGAATTTAAGAATTGAAAAACATTCATCTACTGTAGGCTAGTGTAGTGTGCAGGAAAACATTTAACCACCAGAGGGCAGTGGTGCTACTTGTATAAAAGAGAGCTGTGATAGGCTGACTAGGAACTCTGATCGAAATTGTGTACAGTGAGGGAAAAAAGTATTTGATCCCCTGCTGATTTTGTACGTTTGCCCACTGACAAAGACATGATCAGTCTATAATTTTAATGGTAGGTTTATTTGAACAGTGAGAGACAGAATAACAACAAAAAAATCCAGAAAAATGCATGTCAAAAATGTTATAAATTGATTTGCATTTTAATGAGGGAAATAAGTATTTGACCCCACTGACAAAGGCATGATCAGTCTATAATTTTAATGGTAGGTTTATTTGAACAGTGAGAGACAGAATAACAACAAAAAAATCCAGAAAAACACATGTCAAAAATGTTATAAATTGATTTGCATTTTAATGAGGGAAATAAGTATTTGACCCCTCTGCAAAACATGATTTAGTACTTGGTGGCAAAACCCTTGTTGGCAATCACAGAGGTCAGACGTTTCTTGTAGTTGGCCACCAGGTTTGCACACATCTCAGGAGGGATTTTGTTCCACTCCTCTTTGCAGATCTTCTCCAAGTCATTAAGGTTTCGAGGCTGACGTTTGGCAACTCGAACTTTCAGCTCCCTCCACAGATTTTCTATGGGATTAAGGTCTGGAGACTGGCTAGGCCACTCCAGGACCTTAATGTGCTTCTTCTTGAGCCACTCCTTTGTTGCCTTGGCCGTGTGTTTTGGGTCATTGTCATGCTGGAATACCCATCCACGACCCATTTTCAATGCCCTGGCTGAGGGAAGGAGGTTCTCACCCAAGATTTTACGGTACATGGCCCTGTCCATCGTCCCTTTGATGCGGTGAAGTTGTCCTGTCCCCTTAGCAGAAAAACACCCCCAAAGCATAATGTTTCCACCTCCATGTTTGACGGTGGGGACGGTGTTCTTGGGGTCATAGGCAGCATTCCTCCTCCTCCAAACACGGCGAGTTGAGTTGATGCCAAAGAGCTCCATTTTGGTCTCATCTGACAACAACACTTTCACCCAGTTCTCCTCTGAATCATTCAGATGTTCATTGGTAAACTTCAGACGGCCCTGTATATGTGCGTTCTTGAGCAGGGGGACCTTGCGGGCGTTGCAGGATTTCAGTCCTTCACGGCGTAGTGTTACCAATTGTTTTCTTGGTGACTATGGTCCCAGCTGCCTTGAGATCATTGACAAGATCCTCCCGTGTAGTTCTGGGCTGATTCCTCACCGTTCTCATGATCATTGCAACTCCACGAGGTGAGATCTTGCATGGAGCCCCAGGCCGAGGGAGATTGACAGTTCTTTTGTGTTTCTTCCATTTGCGAATAATCGCACCAACTGTTGTCACCTTCTCACCAAGCTGCTTGGCGATGGTCTTGTAGCCCATTCCAGCCTAGGTCTACAATCTTGTCCCTGACATCCTTGGAGAGCTCTTTGGTCTTGGCCATGGTGGAGAGTTTGGAATCTGATTGATTGATTGCTTCTGTGGACAGGTGTCTTTTATACAGGTAACAAGCTGAGATTAGGAGCACTCCCTTTAAGAGTGTGCTCCTAATCTCAGCTCGTTACCTGTATAAAAGACACCTGGGAGCTATAAATCTTTCTGATTGAGAGGGGGTCAAATACTTATTTCCCTCATTAAAATGCAAATCAATTTATAACATTTTTGACATGCGTTTTTCTGGATTGTTTTGTTGTTATTCTGTCTCTCTGTTCAAATAAACCTACCATTCAAATTATAGACTGATCACTTCTTTGTCATGTGGGCAAACGTACAAAATCAGCAGGGGATCAAATACTTTTTTCCCTCACTGTATATGACTGCACGTGTGTGTGTCTCTATTTGTGTGTGTGTGTGTGTCTCTGTGTGTATGTGTGTGTCTCTGTGTGTGTGTGTGTGTGTGTGTGTGTGTGTGTGTGTGTGTGTCTGTATGTGTTAGTGTGTGTGTCTGTGTGTGTGTGTTTCAGTGTGTGTTTGTAACTCACATTAAGGTGATCTGTTGTGATGTTCATCAGGTGATGGTTGGAGGGGTGGAGCCTCTCAAACAGCAGAGTATCAGCTCCTTTACAGTATAGACGGATCCTCCCCTCGGGGTTACGCACTGCAGACAGAGACATACTTTAATATGATCTGGGTTACGCACTGCAGACAGAGACATACTTTAATATGATCTGGGTTACGCACTGCAGACAGAGACATACTTTAATATGATCTGGGTTATGCACTGCAGACAGAGACATACTTTAATATGATCTGGGTTACGCACTGCAGACAGAGACATACTTTAATATGATCTGGGTTACGCACTGCAGACAGAGACATACTTTAATATGATCTGGTTATGCACTGCAGACAGAGACATACTTTAATATGATCTGGGTTACACACTGCAGACAGAGACTACTTTAATATGATCGGGTATCACTGCAGACGAGACATACTTTAATATGATCTGGGTTACGCACTGCAGACAGAGACATACTTTAATATGATCTGTGTTACGCACTGCAGACAGAGACACAGAGACATAATTTAATGTGATCTGGGTTACGCACTGCAGACAGGAGACACAGAGACATACTTTAATATGACCTGTATCCATAGCAAATACCTATTTCACTGTCCTTCAATTTACTGCAAAGACTCTAGTCTAGAAACAACAAGCACTCCTCACTGCATGTATGGGAGTGGATGTGAGTGAGAATGTGTGTTTCGTAGGCTATAACAAATCCTCCTGTATATTATTGTACAGTATGTAAAGATGTGTGTGAGTGTACCTATAACAGATTTCCCCTGTGTTTAATTTTGTATTTGTTTTATTTTGCTCTTGCGTAAGTTGTTGAACTGCCGTACGTCAAGGTGTGTGTGCGTGTGTGTGTCTATGTCGTGTGTGTGTGTGCGCCAAGGTGTGTGTGTGCGCCAAGGTGTGTGCGTGCGTATGCATGCTTGTGTGTACCTATAACGGACATCCTCTTGCGGATGTTGTTGAAGTCGAGGATGGCCAGCAGTGTGTATGTGACGGGTCGGCCCAGTTCTGTCACAGTGATAGTACCAGGGGTTCTAGACCGGAACACAAAACCAAAGTTCCTGGCTGCTGTCACACCACCTACTGGAGACTGGGCCTAACCCACTCTCCTAGAGGAAGAGAGAAGAGGAGAGTGAGGAGACTGAGAGGGGGGAGAGAGCCAGGATTATACACCAGACTCTCGAGAAGAGTAGAGAAGAGAGAGAGAGAGAGAGAAGAGACGAGAGAGAGAGAGAGACGAGAGAGATGAGAGAGAGAGAAGAGAGAGAGAGAGAGATAGCGAGATAGAGATCAGACGCTGATGAGAGTCTCGCATAGCTCTATGAGATCGCTCATCTATATCTACGAGAAGAGATAGATACGAGAGCATCGACCTAGGACGACGAGAGAGAAGAGAGGAATACAGTATATATTAAACACAAAACACAACATGCTTTAAAGATGCACTATGTAAAAATCACTCCATTTCCTGGTTGATAAAATTCTAATAGTTCGCCTAATATCAGTTTATGTGACAAAACAAGCAAGTGTAGTGTGGAGAATCATTGTACCGTCTAAACCGCTGTGAAATATATTTTCCATAACCAAAAATATACACTGAACAAAAATATAAATGCAACATGTAACTGAAATAAAAGATCCCAGAAATGTTCCATACGCACAAAAAGCTTATTTCTCTAAAATGTTGTGCACCAATTTGTTTACAGTGGCTTGCGAAAATATTCACCCCCCTTGGCAACTTTGGAGGTTTGTATCATTTGATTTACACAACATGCCTACCACTTTGAAGATGCAAAATATTTTTTTATTGTGAAACAAACAAGAAATCAGACAAAAAAACAGAAAACTTGAACGTGCATAACTATTCACCCCCCCCCAAAGTCAACACTTTGTAGAGGCACCTTTTGCAGCAATTACAGCTGCAAGTCTCTTGGGGTATGTCTCTATAAGCTTGGCACATCTAGCCACTGGGATTTTTGCCCATTCTTCAAGTCAAAACTGCTCCAGCTTCTTCAAGTTGGATGGGTTCTGCTGGTGTACAGCAATCTTTAAGTCATTCCACAGATTCTCAATTGGATTGATGTCTGGGCTTTGACTAGGCCATTCCAAGACATTTAAATGTTTCCCCTTAAACCACTCAAGTGTTGCTTTAGCAGTATGCTTAGGGTCATTGTCCTGCTGGAAGGTGAACCTCCTTCCCAGTCTCAAATCTCTGGAAGACTGAAACAGGTTTCCCTCAGGAATTTCCCTGTATTTAGCGCCATCCATCATTCCTTCAATTCTGACCAGTTTCCCAGTCCCTGCCGATGAAAAACATCCCCACAGCATGATGCTGCCACCACCATGCTTCACTGTGGGGATGGTGTTCTCGGGGTGATGAGAGGTGTTGGGTTTGCGCCAGACATAGCGTTTTCCTTGATGGCCAAAAAGCTCAATTTTAGTCTCATCTGACCAGAGTACCTTCTTCCATATGTTTGGGGAGTCTTCCACATGCCATTTGGCGAACACCAAACATGTTTGCTTATTTTTTTCTTTAAGCAATGGCTTTTTTCTGGCCACTCTTCCATAAAGCCCAGCTCTGTGGAGTGTACGGCTTAAAGTGGTCCTATGTACAGATACTCTAATCTCTGCTGTGGAGCTTTGCAGCTCCTTCAGGGTTATCTTTGGTCTCTTTGTTGCCTCTCTGATTAATACCCTCCTTGCCTGGTCCATGAGTTTTGGTGGGCGGCCCTCTCTTGGCAGGTTTGTTGTGGTGCTATTCTTTCCATTTTTTAAAATAATGGATTTAATGGTGCTCCGTGGGATGTTCAAAGTTTCTGATATTTTTTTATAACCCAACCCTGATCTGCACTTCTCCACAACATGGTGCCGCTTCATGGTGCCGCTTGCTTGGTGGTGCCCCTTGCTTAGTGGTGTTACAGACTCTAGGGCCTTTCAGAACAGGTGTATATATACTAAGATCATGTGACAGATCATGTGACACTTAAATAAAGTCCACCTGTGTGCAATCTAACTAATTATGTGACTTCTGAAGATAATTGGTTGAACCAGATCTTATTTAGGGGCTTCATAGCAAAGGGGGTGAATACATATGCACGCACCACTTTTTCATTATTTATTTTTTAGAATTGGTTTCATTTCACTTCACCAATTTTGACTATTTTGTGTATGTCCATTACATGAAATCCAAATAAAAATCAATTTAAATTACAGGTTGTAATGCAACAAAATAGGAAAAACGCCAAGGGAGATGAATACTTTTGCAAGGCACTGCATATGTCACATCCCTGTTAGTGAGGATTTCTCCTTTGCCAAGATAATCCATCCACCTGACAGGTGTGACATATCAAGCAGCTGATTAAACAGCATGATCATTACACAGGTGCACCTTGTGCTGTGGAAATTAAAAGGCCACTCTAAAATGTGCAGTGTTGTCACACAACACAATGCCATAGATGTCTCAAGTTTTGAGGGAGCGTGCAATTGGCATGCTGACTGCAGGAATGTCCACCAGAGCTGTTGCCAGAGAATTGAATGTTCATTTTTCTACCATAAGCAGCCTCCAACGTCGTTTTAGAGAATTTGGAAGTACGTCCAACCGGCCTCATAACCACAGACCACGTGTAACCACGCCAGCCTAGGACCTCTACATCCGGCTTCTTCACCTGCGGGATCGTCTGAGACCAGCCACCCTGACAGCTGTCTGTAATAAAGCCCTTTTGTGGGGAAAAACTCATTCTGATTGGCTGGGCCTGGCTCCCCAGTGGGTGGGCCTGGCTCCCAAGTACACCCATGGCTGCGCCCCTCCCCAGTCATGTGAAATCCATAGATTAGTGCCTAATGAATTTATTTCAATTGACTGATTACCTTATATAAACTGTAACTCAGTAAAATCGTTTAAATTGTTGCATGTTGCGTTTATATTTTTGTTCAGTATTTTCAGCTGTTTGAAGCTGGTGTACAAAACTGAAAGCAAAAGACGCCAAAACAAAACTTAAGAAAGGGAAGCATAAATATTGCGCACATAGAATAGATTTCTTTCAATGAGAAGATTTATAAAATAATATAATAATAATATGCCATTTAGCAGACGCTTTTATCCAAAGCGACTTACAGTCATGCGTGCATAATTTTGTGTATGCGGTGGTCCCGGGGATCGAACCCACTACCTTGGCGTTACAAGCGCCGTGCTCTACCAGCTGAGCTACAGAGGACCACAGACCACAGACTCAGATTTCTATGTGAATTTGGTTGGGTTGCTCAAATAAATACATATTGCAGCTTTAAAAACATGGACTATAATTAGAAGTTCAACTTAATAAATGATTATTTATCCTCTCCATCCTTTCCCCTATCTCTCCCTCTCTTCATCAATTTCAATCATTTTTTTAAAGCTCTATCACTCATATCCGAGTCTGTACGACCCCTACCTTACAGTGTAAACCTTCAAACCCCTAAAGCCAAACCTAGAGGGAACCAGGCTATAGGGGTGGCCAGTCCTCTTCTGGCTGTGCCGGGTGGAGGTTATAACAGAACCATGCCAAGATGTTCAAAAATGTTTCATAAGTGACAGCATGGTCAAATAATAATCAGGAATAAATCTCAGTTGGCTTTTCATAGCCGATCATTAAGAGTTGAAAACAGCAGGTCTGGGACAGGTAGGGGTTCCATAACCGCAGGCAGAACAGTTGAAACTGGAATAGCAGCAAGGCCAGGCGGACTGGGGACAGCAAGGAGTCACCACGGCCGGTAGTCCCGACGTATGGTCCTAGGGCCAGGTCTCTCAGTTGGCTTTTCATAGCCGATCATTAGAGTTGAAAACAGCAGGTCTGGGACAGGTAGGGGTTTCGTAACCGCAGGCAGAACAGTTGAAACTGGAATAGCAGCAAGGCCAGGCGGACTGGGGACAGCAAGGTGTCAGCATGCCCGGTAGTCCTGACGTATGGTCCTAGGGCTCAGGTTCTCAGAGAGAAAGAGAGAACGAGAGAATTAGAGAGAGCATCCCTCCCTCTATCCCTCTCTAACCCTCCCTCCCATCCATCTCTCTCTCTCTCACCCTCCTTCTCCCTCCATCTCTCCATCTCTCCCGCTCTCTCTCACCCTCCTTCTATCCCTCCCTCTATCTCTCTCACCCTCCCTCTCCTTCCTTCCCTCCCTCCCTCTCTCTCTCACCCTCCTTCTTCTCCTCACTCATGACGGTGTGACAGAGGGAAAGCAGCCGGAAGAACTCGTGGCTGTGAAGGTCTCCCAGCTTCACCGACTTCAGCAGACCGTTGTCATAGTAACAGAAGTCAGGGTCCGCCAGGGGGTTGAAGGAGGAGAAGTCCAACCTCTGGAGAGAGAGAAGGGGAGAGAGAGAAGGGGGAAGAGAGGAAGGAGGACAGTTGTAGTACTCATTGTTAGAAACTATGCTTTGTATTCACCTATGGTCAAAGAGCAAAGTGCAGAGTGCCAGAGTGATGTCATTGACACAGAGAGCAAGCTGAACAGTATGTTGGGTTGTTAGTCATACTGTTAGTCTTACGTTCGCCTGCTCACCTTTGGCTGTGCTCCCAACGGGTCGATCACCTCACCTGACAATAGAACACACTCACACTTAGACTCAGAGTTAACCAGCACCACAAGGAGGACTAGAACATTGAATGGGTGAACCAGGACAGTGTGTTGATTTGATTTGTATGTGTGTGTGTGTAATTTTTGTATTTGTATTTATTATGGATCCCCATTAGTTCCTGCCAAGGCAGCAGCTACTCTTCCTGGGGTCCAGCAAATATTAAGGCAGTAATATACATTATAATAAAAAAATGTAACATTAAAATACATTTTACAACAGATTTCACAATACATGAAGTATGTGTATAGCGTGTATGTTGTGTGTGTTTGTATGTGTGTGTTTGTACCTCTGTGTGTGTGACTTCACAATCCTCTCTGTTCCATAAGGTGTATTTTTATCAGTTCAAAAAAAAAATATCTGATAGACGTGTACAGTGCATTCAGAAAGTATTCAGACCCCTTCCCTTTTTCCACATTTTGTTACGTTACAGCCTTATTATAAAATGAATTCAATATTTTTTCCCCCTCATTAATCTAAATACAATACCCCATAATGACAAAGTGAAAAAAAAATGTATGCACTCACTAACTGTAAGTCGCTCTGGATAAGAGCGTCTGCTAAATGACTCAAATGTAAATGTAAATGTAAAACAGAAATAGCTTATTTACATTAGTATTCAGACCCTTTGCTATGAGACTCGAAATTGAGCTCAGGTGCATCCTGTTTCCATTGATCATCCTTGAGATGTTTCTACAACTTGATTGGAGTCCACCTGTGGTAAATTCAATTGATTGGACATGATTTGGAAAGGCACACACCTGTCTATATAAGGTCCCACAGTTGACAGTGCATGTCAGAGCAAAAACCAAGCCATGAGGTCGAAGGAATTGTCCGTAGAGCTCCGAGACTGTATTGTGTGGAGGCAGAGATCTGGGGAAGGGTACCAAAACATTTCTGCAGCATTGAAGGTTCCCAAGAACACAGTGGCCTCCATCATTCTTAAATGGAAGAAGTTTGGAACCACCAAGACTCTTCCTAGAGCTGGCCGACCGGCCTAACTGAGCAATCGGGGGAGAAGGCCCTTGGTCAGGGAGGTGACCAAGAACCCGATGGTCACTCTGACAGAGCTCCAGAGTTCCTCTGTGGCGATGGGAGAACCTTCCAGAAGGACAACCATCTCTGCAGCACTCCACCAATCAGGCCTTTATGTTAGGGTGGCCAGACGGAAGCCACTCCTCAGTAAAAGGCACATGACAGCCCGCTTGGAGTTTGCCAAAAGGCACCTAAAGGACTCTCAGACCATGATAAACAATATTCTCTGTCCTGAATGCCAAGTGTCACATCTGGAGGAAACCTGGCACCATCCCTACGGTGAAGCATGGTGGTGGCAGAATCATGCTGTGGGGATGTTTTTCAGTGGCAGGGACTGGGAGACTAGTCAGGTTCGAGGCAAAGATGAATGGAGCAAAGTACAGAGAGAGCCTTGATGAAAACCTGCTCCAGAGCGCTGAGGACCTCAGACTGGGGCGAAGGTTCACCTTCCAACAGGACAATGACCCTAAGCAAACAGCCAAGACAACGCAGGAGTGGCTTCGGGACAAGTCTCTGAATGTCCTTGAGTGGCCCAGCCAGAGCCCGAACTTAAACCCAATCGAACATCTCTGGAGAGACCTGAAAATAGCTGTGCAGCGACGCTCCCCATCCAACCTGACAGAGCTTGAGAGGATCTGCAGAGATGAATGGGAGAAACTCCCCAAATACAGGTGTGCCAAGCTTGTAGTGTCATACCCAAAAAGACTAGAGGCTGTAATCACTGCCAAAGGTGCTTCAACAAAGTACTGAGTAAAGGGTCTGAATACTTACGTGTGATATTTCAGTTTTTTTTTCATTTATAAATTTGCAAACATTTCAAAAAACAATTTTTTGCTTTGTTAATTTTTTAAATCCATTTTAGAAGAAGGCTGTAATGTAACAAAATGTGGAAAAAGTCAAGGGGTCTGAATACTTTCCGAATGCACTGTATATACTGTAGTATACCCACCATAGGCTTGTCCATTGATAGAGCACTTGTTGAAGCTCATGATGTTCTGAGTGAGAGTTCCTGTCTTGTCACTGAAGATGTACTCCACCTGTTTCAATGGGGAAGGGGGGGGGGGGGGGGGGGGTTATCAAGATACCACAGACGTGCTGGACCTACATCCACAGGCTTTTAGGCTAACACTCCCCAACACAGAGATACAAGGATCTAGTATAGATGAACGACAGTATGGTGTAGGATGTTCCTCACCTGTCCAAGTTCCTCGTTGAGCGTGGTGGTCCTGGCTTCGGCTGCTGTGTTACACCGTGGACAGAACATCTTCCTGTCCCAGTTGATAAAGTAACTATGACCCAGCCTTATCACCTCCACACTGGAGATAGCCAAAGGGAGGGAGGGAGGGAGGGAGAGAGGGGGGAGAGAGAGAGAAATACAAAATTAGTGATAATTCAACAGCAAGCCCTCTTGAACTTCTTTGGGATTGCAGATAGATTGCAGCCCACACAACACATACAAAAACAAAAACACACTAACACAAAAACACACACAAAGAAACTAACAAACAACAGCCCTTAGTTTGTCAGTTATCAGTCCGGGTGGGTCAGTACCACTCACTAACATCATTAGTCACCACAGTGTTACACTCCAAACAGTGGATGAGTTTAGGGTTTATGGGGAAGTAACCAGAGGAATGATGATGTTTCAATAAAAAGGGAACACAGCTGCAACTCTCTGTCTTACCTGCAGAGGAGGCTCTGAGGACAACATTAACAAAAAAACAAACAAAAAAGTTACAATCAACTAATTAACAAAGCTACTAAATAAAGGGAAAACAAAACAAGCGCAAAAATAAAGAATAAATGACAAAATATTGTCATCGAACTAAAAATAATGGGATGAGTTGTGGATTGAAATATCAACTTGTTCCAGAATCCATAGAAAGTAAAGTACTGATGAAGCATCTTGACTGTCACTGTCACTAATCTCCCTTGACTAAAAGGGTCATAGAGGATTTATTACCTGACATAGAAGTCTTATTACCTGACATAGAGGTGTTATTACCTGACATAGAAGTCTTATTACCTGACATAGAGGTGTTATTACCTGACATAGATGGCTTATTACCTGACATAGAGGTGTTATTACCTGACATAGAGGTGTTATTACCTGACATAGAAGTCTTATTACCTGACATAGAGGTGTTATTACCTGACATAGATGGCTTATTACCTGACATAGAGGTGTTATTACCTGACATATAAGTCTTATTACCTGACATAGAGGTGTTATTACCTGACATAGATGGCTTATTACCTGACATAGAGTTGTTATTACCTGACATAGATGGCTTATTACCTGACATTGAGGTGTTATTACCTGACATAGATGGCTTATTACCTGACATAGAGGTGTTATTACCCGACATAGATGGCGTATTACCTGACATAGAGGTGTTATTACCTGACATAGAAGTCTTATTACCTGACACAGAGATGTTATTACCTGACATAGAGGGCTTATAACCTGACATAAATTATTCCTTACCTGACGTAGAGTGAGATGGGCACCACGGTGTTGAGGATGATGACGTAGGACCAGAAGGAGAGGAAGGCAGAGAAGAGGAAGTTGTCTACAGGCAGGTCCCAGGCCAGGTAACTCTGGAATAGAGAACCCACCTCTCTCTCCCACACAGCGTTCCCCACAGCCAGGATCACACCCATACACACCAGGAAGCCAAAGATCTGGGACGGGGGGAGAGAGAGGGGAGAGAGAGGGGGGAGAGAGGGGAGGAGAGAGAGGGGGGAGAGAGGGGAGAGGGAGGGGGGAAAGAGGGGAGGAGAGAGAGGGGAGAGAGAGGGGGGAGAGAGGGAGAGGGGAGAGGAGGGGAGGAGAGAGAGGGGAGAGAGAGGGGAGAGAAGAGAGGGGGGAGAGAGGGGGAGAGAGGGGGGAGAGAGAGGGGAGAGAGGGTAAAGATTAGGCTTATGTCTAAATGTATGTACCTTATTGTTTTTCTAAATGTCAAGCTCAACTAGAAATGTACAGTTTCTGGAGAAACTAGAAGGCCATAATAGTCTTGTTTTATATAAGAAATACATGTTAAACAAGTATGGCCAAACAGAAGGGGAGATGTGGGGTCTCCTACCCAGAGCACCAGTGTGTTCATGAGGCGGTCGATGCTTGTGCGTTTGAACTTGGTGCGACCACTATTCTGCATCAGCTTGGTGTCTGGGCCTGGTCAGAGAGATATAGAAAGAGGAATTGGTTAGGCACACACACACACACACACACACACACACACACACACAAACACACACACACACACAGAAGGACCAACCTGCAAAGATGACCAGTCCATAGCAGGTCTCTGTGTTGCGGAGGACACAGCCTCGTAGCAACATGTTCTGGTTGCTCAGGGGGTATTTACAATCTCTCCAGTACAGAAGACCACAGAACCTGTCCAGCTTGTTGTTGGGAGGCTCACACACCACCTCACCTGCACCGGCAACACACACACACACTCTTTGACTTTGACATACACTTTTATCACACACTTTACTGCTAATACAGGTCTTCAGCCACACAATCACCTCACCTGGTCAGCTACGATACAGTACAGTGTTCTCTCCAACATCATCTTACCATCTGTTAGGTGTGGTTGTGACAGAAGTACCACCTCAGTACCTTAACAAACAGCTTTTATAAACCACCTCACCAGCACAACACACTGTATACTACATCAGCCTCAGAAAAGGAATGACTACAGATTCAACATCACCACAGAGGGCAGTGTTCAGCTGTGTGTCAGACAGTGTGTCAGCCACACTCCATCTTAGGACTATTGAATTAAACTGACTTATTATGGGTGCTGTGCTAGCAAACACACAGACACACACACACAGACACACACACACACACAGACACGCAGACACACACACACACACGCACTCACACACACACAGACACAAACACACACACACACACAAAGACCAACCTGCTTGCAGTAATGTTTTCTGCTGAGCAGTTGAGGAGAAGTGCGTGGGTGATCCATGCTGATGAGGAAACCCAGTGTGTGTGTGTGTGTGGGGGGAATAGAGAGACTGTGGGTGTTAAGTGCTGACAACGGAGGGCGTGTGTGTGAGATGCTGGGCGGTGTGGGCGTTAAGTGCTTGGCTGCAGATTGGACCTGCTGACCTCTGGTGTGTGAAAACAAAGAGACCAATAGAAAGACACTTCCTACCGTCAAAAGAGGCCAGGTTGTTGGGGTCTCCCAGCTCTGCAGTCACAGACAGAGACTGACGCACCTTCATATTGGTCTCCCTGCACAAACACAACACAACACACACACACACTGTTTATGAACTCACAAACCATGAGGATCACTGTGTTGTGCTTTATTGAAATGTGCTGTCTGTTATGGTGTATTCTTACCCGTCTAGCTCTGCAGTCTCGATGTAACAGAGGCTATGAGGTTCACTACTGGACAGTAGGAGAAGGTCAGCCTGAAGAGAAATATCAGCTAGCATTAGCATCCGCTAACATACTGTAGCATTTCTGATAATGCCACTTTTGTTCTTTCTAGCATGGCCATCTAGCGTAGGCTGGATAGCATTAGCTAACAAGGCTAACACATTCCCGAACATTCGCTAACACGCTACTAGTACAGTACACTGAAAGTTAGCCTTAGCGTAGAGATGTTTGGCTGAAATATGAGAGCGCTGTGTGTTACATCGCCTTTATGGGAGCCTTTAAAACCAGCATGAATGAATCTCAATACCTGTAAGTGCTTGTATATACACTGCTCAAAATAATTAAGGGAACACTAAAATAACACATCCTAGATCTGAATGAATGAAATAATCTTATTAAATACTTTTTTCTTTACATAGTTGAATGTGCTGACAACAAAATCACACAAAAATTATCAATGGAAATCAAATGTATCAACCCATGGAGGTCTGGATTTGGAGTCACCCTCAAAATTAAAGTGGAAAACCACACTACAGGCTGATCCAACTTTGATGTAATGTCCTTAAAACAAGTCAAAATGAGGCTCAGTAGTGTGTGTGGCCTCCACGTGCCTGTATGACCTCCCTACAACGCCTGGGCATGCTCCTGATGAGGTGGCGGATGGTCTCCTGAGGGATCTCCTCCCAGACCTGGACTAAAGCATCCGCCAACTCCTGGACACTCTGTGGTGCAACTTGGCGTTGGTGGATGGAGCGAGACATGATGTCCCAGATGTGTTCAATTGGATTCAGGTCTGGGGAATGGGCGGGCCTGACACACTCCAGCCACATGAGGTCTAGCATTGTCTTGCATTAGGAGGAACCCAGGGCCAACCGCACCAGCATATGGTCTCAAAAGGGGTCTGAGGATCTCATCTCGGTACCTAATGGCAGTCAGGCTACCTCTGGCGAGCACATGGAGGGCTGTGCGGCCCCCCAAAGAAATGCCACCCCACACCATGACTGACCCACCGCCAAACCAGTCATGCTGGAGGATGTTGCAGGCAGCAGAACGTTCTCCACGGCGTCTCCAGACTCTGTCACGTCTGTCACATGTGCTCAGTGTGAACCTGCTTTCATCTGTGAAGAGCACAGTGGCGAATTTGCCAATCTTGGTGTTCTCTGGCAAATGCCAAACGTCCTGCACGGTGTTGGGCTGTAAGCACAACCCCCACCTGTGGACGTCGGGCCCTCATACCACCCTCATGGAGTCTGTTTCTGACCGTTTGAGCACACACATGCACATTTGTGGCCTGCTGGAGGTCATTTTGCAGGGCTCTGGCAGTGCTCCTCCTACTCCTCCTTGCACAAAGGCGGAGGTAGCAGTCCTGCTGCTGGGTTGTTGCCCTCCTACGGCCTCCTCCACGTCTCCTGATGTACTGGCCTGTCTCCTGGTAGCGCCTCCATGCTCTGGACACTACGCTGACAGACACAGCAAACCTTCTTCCCACAGCTCGCATTGATGTGCCTTCCTGGATGAGCTGCACTACCTGAGCCACTTGTGTGGGTTGTAGACTCCGTCTCATGCTATCACTAGAGTGAAAGCACCGCCAGCATTCAAAAGTGACCAAAACATCAGCCAGGAAGCATAGGAACTGAGAAGTGGTCTGTGGTCACCAACTGCAAAACCAGTCCTTTATTGGGGGTGTCTTGCTAATTGCCTATAACTTCCACCTGTTGTCTATTCCATTTGCACAACAGCATGCGAAATGTATTGTCAATCAGTGTTGCTTCCTAAGTGGACAGTTTGATTTCACAGAAGTGTGATTGACTTGGAGTTACATTGTGTTGTTTAAGTGTTCCCTTTATTTTTTTGAGCAGTGTATATCAAACCATTGCACTGCACCATAAAAACTGTGTTATGACAGAGTACATTACAACAGTTGCAAATTAATCATAACCAGTGTGTGTGTGTGTGTGTGTGTGTGTGTGTGTGTGTTTGTGTTTGTGTGGGCACGTGTGATACATTATGTTGATGATTGAACGACACACACTTACTGCCACAAACTGGTTATTCTCCAGTTTAATGATATCACCCACTCTCACATTCATCCACTTCTCCTTCTGAAGACTGAGAGAGAGAAACGAGGGAGGGAGGGAGAGAGAGAGAGAGAGAGAGAGAAAGCGAGGGAGAGAGGTAGAGAGAGAGAGGTAGAGAGGTAGAGAGAGAGAGTTGAGAATGGAGTAAGAGAAAGAGAGGGAGTATACTAAATTATAAATATCAACAGCTTACAATGTGTGATGAGAACAGCATGAGCATTGATCAGTAGCAGTAGTGACTGATGCCTGTCTGTACTGCTGAGTGTAGACTGGACATAGATGAACTGTCTGTTATTGCTGAGTGGTATACTGGGACTAGAGACTGTCTGTATTGTGAGTGTAGACTGGACTAGATCCTGTCTGTAATTGCTGAGTGTAGAATGGACTAGATGACTGTCTTATATTGGGTGTAGGACTGGACTAGATGGACTGGCGTATTGCTGAGTGTGACTGGATAGATGATGTCCTGTATGCTGAGTGTAGATGGACGAGATGCCTGTCTGACTGCTGAGTGTTAGATGGACTAGAGACTGTATATATTGCTGGAGTGTAGACTTGATTAGATACCCGTATGCTAAGTGTAGGACTGGGACATAGATGACGTCTGTTGGAGTGTAGACTGGACCAGATGACTGTCGGTATTGCTGAGTGTAGAATGGGACTCGATGACGGCTGTCTGTGGAGTGTAGACTGGACCAGAGACTATCTGAATTGCTGAGTGTAGACTGGACTAGATACCTGTCTGTATTTGCTGAGGGTAGACTGGATAGCATGACTGTCGTTACTAGCTGAGGGTAGACTGGACCAGTGACGTCTGTATTGTGAGTGTAGATGGCTAGATGATGTCATGTATTGTGAGTGCAGAATTGGAACCTAGATGCCGTCTGTATTGGCTGAGTGTAGAACTGGACTAGGATGCCTGTCTGGATTGCTGAGTGTAGACTGGAATAGATGATGGTTGTATTGCTGAGTGTAGCTGGGACTAGATGACTGTCTGTATTGCTGAGGTAGAGGACTAGATGCTGTCTGTATTGCTGGAGTGTAGACTGGAAAAACTAGAGACTTGTCTGTATGTGAGTGTAGACGGAATCGATGACTGTATGTATTGTGAGTGTAGACTGGGATAGATGCGGTCTGTACCTTGCGAGTGTAGAATGTGACTAGATGACTGTCTGTCCTGCTGAGTGAGATGGATAGATACCTGTCTGGACGCTGAGGTAGACTGGACTAGATAATGTCTGTACTGCTGAGTGTAGACGGACTAGAGACTGTCTGTATTGCTGAGTGTAGATGGAACAAGAGGGATGTCTGTACTGCCTGAGTGAGACTGGGACTAGATGCCTGTCTGTATTGGGTGTAGACGGACGAGATGATGTCTGTACTGCTGAGTGTAGATGGACTAGATATCTGTCTGTACTGATGAGTGTAGACGGGACTAGATACCTCTGTATTGCTGAGTGTAGACCGACTAGATGACGTCTGTAATGCGAGTGTTTCGACTGGACAAATGCGTCTGTATTGTGAGTGTAGACTGGACTAGATTACTGTCTGTAATTGCTGAGTGTAGACTGGACTCGAGGACGTCTGTATTGCTGAGTGTAGAGGGATAGATGCCTGTCTGTATTGCTAGTGGAGACTGACTAGAGACTGTCTGTATGCTGAGTGTAGATGGACTAGAGCATGTCTGTATGCTGAGTGTAGATGGACTACAGGCCTTTTGTATTGCTGGAGTGTAGACTGGACTAGAGCTGTCTGTATGGCGAGTGTAGACTGGACTAGATGCTGGTCTGTATTGCGGAGTGTCTAGACTTGGACTAGATTGACTGGTCTGTATTGCTGAGTGTAGACTGAGACTAGATGCCTGTCTGTATGCTGAGTGTAGACGGGACTAGATGCTGGTCTGTATTGCTGAGTGTAGACTGGACTAGATGCCTGCGTATTGCTGAGGTGAGGAGGACTAGATGCCTGGTCTGTACTGTGAGTGAGATGGAACTAGATGCAATGTCTGTATTGATGAGTGTAGGGACTGGACTAGATGATGTCTATATTGCTGAGTGTAGATCGGGACTAGAGACTGTCTGCTATTGTGAGTTTGACTGGACTAGATGCCTGTCTGTATTGCTGAGTGTAGCCTGGACTAGATGCTGTCTGTATTGCTGGTGTAGACTGGACTAGATGCCTGTCTGTATTGCTGAGGGTAGACATTGGACTAGATGCTGGGTCTGTATTGCGAGTGTAGACTGGACTAGATGCCTGTCTGTATTGCTGAGTGTGGGACTGGACTAGATGCCTGTCTGTATTGCTGAGTGAGGACTGGACTAGATGCTGTCCTGTATTGCTGAGTGTAGACTGGACTAGATGGCCTGTCTGTATTGCTGAGTGAGACGACTAGAATGCCCTGTCTGTATTGCTGAGTGTAGACTGAACTAGATGCTGGTCTGTGTGCTGAGTGTAGGACTGGACTAGATGACTGTCGTAATTGCTGAGTGTAGACTGGACTAGATGCCTGTTCTGTATTGCTGATGTAACTGGACTAGATGACTGTCTGTATTGCTGAGTGTAGACTGAACTAGAATGACTGTCTGTATTGCCTGAGTGGTAGGACTGGCACTAGATGCTGCCTGTATGCTGAGTGTAGAACTGGACTAGATTCGGTCTGTTTGCTTGAGTGTAGAATGGACTAGATGCTGGTCTGTATTGCCGCGTGTATACTGGACTACCTTGCCTTCTGTATTGCCAGTGTAGACAGGACTAGATGATGTCTGTATTGCTGAGTGTAGATGGACTAGATGGATGTCTGTACTGCTGAGTGTAGAACTGGATAGTACCTGTCTGACTGCTTGAGGTACGGACGGATCGAACATGTCTGTATGCTGAGGTCGTAGACTGGATAGATACCTGTATGTATGCTGAGTGTAGACTGAACTAGATGCCTGTCTGTACTGCTGAGGTAGGACTGGAACTAGATGCCTGTCCTGTATTGCTGAGTGTAGAATGGACTAGATGACTGTCTGTACTGTCCCCTGAGTGGAGATGGAATAGATATTGTCTGTTACTGCGAGTGTAGACTGGGGACTAGATACCTCTGTATTGCTGAGGTCGACTGGGATAGATGACGGTCTGTACTGGAGGTAGACTGGACTACATGCCTGTCTGTATTGCTGAGTGTAGACGTGGACTAGATACCTGTCTGTCTTGCGAGTGTAGACTGGGATAGAGGATGTCTGTATGCTGAGTGTAGACTGGACTAGATGCCTGTCCGTATGCTGAGGTAGACTGAACTAGATGACTGTCTGTATTGCTGAGTGTAGACTGGACTAGATGCCTGTCTGTACTGCTGAGTGTAGACTGGACTACATGCCTGTCTGTATTGCTGAGTGTAGACTGGACTAGATGACTGTCTGTATTGCTGAGTGTAGACTGGACTAGATGCTGGTCTGTATTGCTGAGTGTAGACTGGACTAGATGACTGTCTGTATTGCTGAGTGTAGACTGGACTAGATGCCTGTCTGTATTGCTGAGTGTAGACTGGACTAGATGCCTGGTCTGTATTGCTGAGTGTAGACTGGACTAGATGCCTGTCTGTATTGCTGAGTGTAGACTGGACTAGATGCCTGTCTGTACTGCTGAGTGTAGACTGGACTAGATGCCTGTCTGTATTGCTGAGTGTAGACTGGACTAGATGACTGTCTATATTGCTGAGTGTAGACTGGACTATATGACTGTCTGTATTGCTGAGTGTAGACTGGACCGTAGATGCCTGTCTGTATTTGTGAGTGTAGACTGGACTAGATGCTGTCTGTATTGTGAGTGTAGATGGACTAGATGCCTGTCTGAGTGCTGAGTGTAGGATGGGACTAGATGGCTGTCTGTCTGCGGTGGTGGGGGATGAGTGTAGACTGGCAGATGCCGTCGGTATTGCTGAGTGTAGACTGGTACTCGTTACGGTCTGTATTGCTGAGTGTAGACGGACTGATGCCTGTCTGTATGTGAGTGTAGACTGGACTAGGATGCCTGTTCTGTATTGCTGAGGTGTAGATGGACCGATGACTGTCTTGTATGCTGAGTGTACTGGACTAGATGACTGTCGTATGACGAGTGTAGACTGGATAGATGACCTGTGTATGCTGAGTGTAAGATGGACTAATGCCTGTCTGTATTGCGAGTGTAGACTGGACTACATGCTGCTCTGTATTGTGAGTGTAGACTGGACTACATGCCTGTCTGTATTGCTGAGTGTAGACTGGACTACATGCCTGTCTGTATTGCCGAGTGTAGACTGGACTAGACGAGACTTACGAGCCATGGATGACGACCTGAGACTGGCGGTTGTTCACCTGGTTGTCACTCTTGTGACGGAACTGAAGGAGACAAGAATTTACATGTTGTTTTTTTTCTCAAATATGGTGTGTTTTGAATAGTGTGTTAGGGCTGGCACAATTATCTTATAATCGACCGACAATTATGGACAATAATTTAATTTTAAAAAATGTCATAATCTGCATATCTTAATACATTCATTTTAGGAGAAGGCATTCAACTTGATATTCAAGTAGATATAGTTCACTCAATAGCAGAATGTCATTTTTTTTTTTTACATGAAGTGGGTAAAGTTGGTCATCATTTTAGGAGCAGAAAGGTACAGTCGGGAGGTTTTCAAAAGTTCCAAACGGTCAGAACCATTTGTGTTTGAGACAGGGGTTTCACCAAAGCTGTGTTGTAATCATTAGGTGAGTCATATAATTTGTTTTACAGATGCATTATGATGCATTACAAGCTCAAAAGATTTTCAACAAAAATTACAATAATGACAATACCCGTGGCCATTTGCATGACAATTAATTGTTACCCAAAATGCCATAATCGTGTGTGTGTTTGTTTCTGACAGACACTCACGTAGTCGTCGGTGGCATCCTTTACTGCAGTGATGCTGAGCACCAGGACTAAAGGCACTATGGTGGTGAACCAGGAGAGAGACGAGATCTGGGACTCAACTGGAGAGAGAGAGAGAGAGGGGGGGGAGAGAAAGAGAGAGAGAGAGAGAGAGAGAGAGAGAGAGAGACGAGAGAGAGAGAGACAGAGAGAGAGAGAGAGGAGAGAGACGAGAGGGTGAGAGAGAGAGAGAGAGAGAGAGAGAGAGGAGAGCGAGAGGAGAGGAGGGAGAGGAGAGCGAGCAAGAGATGAGAGGACGAGACGAGAGAGAGAGGGAGAGGGAGAGGAGAGGAGAGGAGAGGAGAGGAGAGGAGAGGGGAGAGGCGAGAGAGGAGAGGAGAGAGGGAGAGGAGAGGAGAGGAGAGGAGAGGAGAGGAGAGGAGAGGAGAGGAGAGGAGAGCAGAGAGAGAGGGGAGAGAGAGAGAGGAGAGCGGAGAGGAGAGAGCGAGAGGGGAGATGAGCGAGAGAGAGAGAGAGAGATGGGATGTAAGAGAATAAAGCAGTCTCTATAATGTACCTGCTGTGTCGTTCAATGTGGTGGAAACTGATAGCCCCTCTCTCTCCCCTCCCCACTCCTCTCCACCCCATCCCCCTTTTCAGCATCCAGTCTTCATTCCTCCCTTCCATTCTTTATCCCCAGTCTCATCTCTATATGCCCTCCATACCTCCACTTCAATTTCCTTCTTCTCCTCTTCTCCCTGCTTCCGTCCTGCACCCAATTTTACTGCCATCGATTCTGAATATGGAAACACACACTCTCTTACCTGCAGTATGAGCAGAAAGAGGAAGTAGTGTTGGCCACTTCCTGGAACTGTTCAAACAGGTTGACGGGCAGAAAGGTGATGACGTTGTACTTAGACGTCATAATACAGTTACATCTGAGAGAAGTGAGAGAGAGAGAGAGAGAGAGAGAGAAGAGAGAGAGAGAGAGACGAGAGAGAGAGAGAGAGTGGAGATGAGAGAGAGGTCGAGATGGAGAGAGAGAAGAGAGAGAAAGAAAGAAGGAAAGAAAGAACTAAAGCCCGCAAGAAGCCCGAAAAGCACTCCATCCCTCCCGCCGCCCGAAAGCCAGAACGACCTCACCCTAAAGAAAGAAAGGATCTCCTCTCGCTCTCTCTCTCATGATCGCGCGTTGCTCTTCTCTAGCGGCTCTGAGCGCTCTCGCGCCCCTCCCTAAAGCCAAAGAAGCCGAAAGAAAGAAATAACATAACGAAAGAAAGAATATATAGAGATAGAGATATATAGACGATAGGGGGATAGGAAGTGATGTTCTTAATGTGAAATACTAATATAAAAATAGAAAATGTTGGTCTATGATTAGTCATGTAACGTACTTAAACATAAATACACATATACAAGCATGTACGCACACAAACACACAAACTATCTCTCTTACGGCATACTGAAACTTCTCGTTGTATTCTCTGTCATTGGCCCGGACCCTCCTCTCCTCCTCTGGTGAAACACACACAACTGTGAGACAGGCAACACATAACTTCAATAACATAACTCTGAAACATCTTAACCAAAAGTATCTCTGGGATAAACCACGGATTCCCTACCAGGGACCTTGCCTTTGTGTGTGTGTGTGTTTTTTCGGGGTGTGTGAAACTGGGCAATTAGTCTATTATCCCAGGCCGAGTCAATATCACTAATTCATCAATACAGACGTTCTATCTTAATTTGATCACTCTGTTGTCACAGAACATGTTCCTGTGCAGCAGGAAAGGCAAATTTGCAGTATATTCAAGGTTTAAAAAGGCTTCTAAATGTTGTAATTTCCACTTTAAAATGTCAGACTTGATTTGCCCTAACAAATAAATAATCAACCCCTACAAACATTTCCATTAATTATAATCCACATAATAATTCACATTTCCTGTTGCTGCAGGATTATTTTCCTGCTGTGAGAAACTGTTCAGATTAAGATAGAATATCTGTAACTACAGTCTGTGTTGGACAGAAAAATAGAGATGGAGAGAGGTTGATTTAGCCTATCTAATTTACATATACTCCCAAATCAATATAGCCCTTAGAGCTAGACACGCACGCACGCACACACACACACACACACACTGACTGGCAGGTCAATTATGTTGTAACAGGAATTAGCTCTGTTTGCCTGGTGCCTCTGAACATTAACATCCCAACAGGCTCAGGCCTGACACAGTTAACCCACCGCTGGAGGGTGTGTGTGTGTGTGTGTGTGTGTGTGTGTGTGTGTGTGACCCCTGGGTCACTAAGGGAATAAACAGGTCATGACTGTAGAGTTGAGGTGAGGTGAATGTGTACGTTGAGTTGAGGGCTTTTTGTGCTGATGCAGTGAATGTTTAGGAGTAATCCTCCCTGCCTCCATCTCTCCTCTAATATTGATGAGAGCTTTTAAAATTAAATGACTGCTCTGTTTACCCAGAGTAGAGCACGCATACACACATACACACACACATACACACACACTGTCACGATCGTCGTAATAAGTGGACCAAGGCGCAGCGTGATATGCGTACATCTTTTAATGCGTACTTTGCACAATACAACAAAACAACAAAACGAAACGTGAAGTCCTCGGTCATACAACACAAACCTAAACGGAACAAGATCCCACAAATGACAAGTGCACAACAGGCTGCCTAAGTATGGTTCCCAATCAGAGACAACAAGACACAGCTGCCTCCGATTGGGAACCACCCCGGCCAACACAGAAATACACGATCTAGAAAAGAACACATAGAAAACAAAACATAGACACTACACATAGAAACTAACACCCTGGCTCAACATATAAGAGTCCCCAGAGCCAGGGCGTGACACACACATACACACATGCACACACACACATGCACACAGAGGTCTGTGCTCTGACCAATGAAGTGTGAAAGAGAGGTATGAAAGATATGAAACCCCCCGCACACATACACACACCTCTACAGCGTACAAAACACACATACACACACCTCTACAGCGTACAAAACACACATACACACACCTCTACAGCGTACAAAACACACATACACACACCTCTACAGCGTACAAAACACACATACACACACCTCTACAGCGTACAAAACACACATACACACACCTCTACAGCGTACAAAACACACATACACACACCTCTACAGCGTACAAAACACACATACACACACCTCTACAGCGTACAAAACACACATACACACACCTCTGCAGCGTACAAAACACACATACACACACATCTGCAGCGTACAAAACACACATACACACACATCTGCAGCGTACAAAACACACATACACACACCTCTACAGCGTACAAAACACACATACACACACCTCTACAGCGTACAAAACACACATACACACACCTCTACAGCGTACAAAACACACATACACACACCTCTGCAGCGTACAAAACACACATACACACACATCTGCAGCGTACAAAACACACATACACACAGCTGCAATCAGGTAGGTCAGCCAAACCCTGCCCCTGTCCTGTTTCAGAGGAATCGAAAGAAAAAAAGCATACAGTACACACCTGCTAACTTCCTTCCTGTTTGTCTCTGTCAGCAGACCAGTCTATAACCAGCCCCCCAACCACACACACACCAGTGGTTTCCTGTGCAGCAGCATGCATGTCAGTCCCTCTAGTCTCATCCTGCTGAGGAATAGCCTTGTTCAGTCCTGTCTGACCTACCAAAACACAAAGTCTGACCTACCAAAACACACAGTCCTGTCTGACCTACCAAAACACAGTCTGACCCACCAAAACACACAGTCCTGTCTGACCTACCAAAACACAAAGTCTGACCCACCAAAACACAGTCCTGTCTGACCTACCAAAACACAAAGTCTGACCCACCAAAACACACAGTCCTGTCTGACCTACCAAAACACAAAGTCTGACCCACCAAAACACACAGTCCTGTCTGACCTACCAAAACACACAGTCCTGTCTGACCTACCAAAACACACAGTCCTGCCTGACCTACCAAAACACACAGTCCTGTCTGACCTACCAAAACACACAGCCCTGTCTGACCTACCAAAACACACAGTCCTATCTGACCTACCAAAACACACAGCCCTGTCTGACCTACCAAAACACACAGCCCTGTCTGACCTACCAAAACACACAGCCCTGTCTGACCTCCCAAAACACACAGCCCTGTCTGACCTACCAAAACACACAGCCCTGTCTGACCTACCAAAACACACAGCCCTGTCTGACCTACCAAAACATAGTCCTGTCTGACCTACCAAAACACACAGCCCTGTCTGACTTACCAAAACACACAGTCCTGTCTGCTCTACCAAAACACACAGCCCTCACACTCACTAACAGAGTGTGGTTTATTCACACATACACACATACACATCCAGTTCACATACATTATACTGTAGACACAATACACATATTACAGTAATACACAACATGCTGGAGCAGACATGAACCATAAGAAGATATTAGCCTAGGCCCTGTATAAACAGTTGATGAACCATAAGAAGATATTAGCCTAGGCCCTGTATAAACAGTTGATTAACCATAAGAATATATTAGCCTAGGCCCTGTACAAACAGTTGATGAACCATAAGAAGATATTAGCCTAGGTCCTATATAAACAGTTGATGAACCATAAGAAGATATTAGCCTAGGCCCTGTATAAACAGTTGATTAACCATAAGAATATATTAGCCTAGGCCCTGTACAAACAGTTGATGAACCATAAGAAGATATTAGCCTAGGTCCTATATAAACAGTTGATGAACCATAAGAAGATATTAGCCTAGGCCCTGTATAAACAGTTGATTAACCATAAGAATATATTAGCCTAGGCCCTGTACAAACAGTTGATGAACCATAAGAAGATATTAGCCTAGGTCCTATATAAACAGTTGATGAACCATAAGAAGATATTAGCCTAGGCCCTGTATAAACAGTTGTGTCAATAACATGCACACATCTGCTCAGAAGCCCACACCAGGCTTGATGTTTGAGCTGTACCACAACACTCCTGGCAGTCAGTGTGAGAGATAGGATCTTAATTTGACCCATTTCTCACAGCAGCAAAATAATGCTGCAGCAACAGGAAATGTGATTTATTATGTGGATTATAATTAATGGACATTTTTGTAGGGGTTGATACATTTTTCGTTAGGGCAAATCAAGCCTGACATATTTAAGTGGAAATTACAAACTTTAGAAGCCTTTTAAAACCTTGAATACACTACAGGTTTGCATTTCCTGCTGTGATCAAATTACGATCCTACATATCTTTAGATCAGATGAGAGCTGTAGGCTACTATACGACTTCACAATGTGTCAACTCCCATACTGTCAGATCTGTGAGTGTTAAGAGGAGGGTGTTACAGCCAGTTAGACGACTGTTCCAGGTTTTAGAGCATGTTAGGGTTAGGGCAGCAAGCTTCAGGACATGGACACAACAGTTAACATTCACCAGCTGAGGGCTTGGAACTGTTCATAATATCTGAACTGGTTTAGAGAGAGAGAAAGAGAGGGGGGGGGGGGGGGGGGGGTGTTAGCCATGGTTGATGCTGTATGATATCTACTCAGCATTGGGCTGTCTCCATCCCTCTCTCTATCTACATCCTTCTCTTCCTCTCTCCACTCCTCCCTCCCTCCTTCCCTCCTTCCCTCCTTCCTCCACTTCTCTCTCTCTCTGAAGGTCATTCTGTTGTTTTCTTTGGCCAGCATCTGGTATAAATCTATAGCCAGGCTGCATTAACCCCCCTATTGCCCATATAACAGCCCCATGCCCGCTGGCAGGCAGGTAGGTAGAGATATACAGGCCTGCCAACCACAGCATCTCTTCCAAACCCATTTCGTCCCAGCCAAGCCTGTCCCGGTCCAACCCATTTTGTGTCTTTAGCCCGGCCCATTAAGCATTTATACAGCTCCCTGCCTGACAGCCTCAAGGGACCGGCAGCCTCACGCAGCAGCACGCTCCAGCCACAGTGCCTCAGAGCTACGCAGCACCACAATAAAGCAGCACGCTCCAGCCACAGTGCCTCAGAGCTACGCAGCACCACAATAAAGCAGCACGCTCCAGCCACAGTGCCTCAGAGCTACGCAGCACCACAATAAAGCAGCACGCTCCAGCCACAGTGCCTCAGAGCTACGCAGCACCACAATAAAGCAGCACGCTCCAGCCACAGTGCCTCAGAGCTACGCAGCACCACAATACAGCAGCCCATTATACAGCCTTTAAACCTCTATTACTGGGGCACAGGGACATCTACAGCATAGGGACTAGATTAGATTTATCATAGATCATCCTGTTGAGAGGATAGTGTGTGTGAGTGAGTGGAGGCGTGATGCATGGATCTGTGTTACTATGAGAGAGGCAGATCCACAGGGGAGCTCTCTCCTTCTCTCTCCTTCTCTCACTCTTGTCCCCTTCTCCCAGAGAAACAATGTCATGAATTTCTATTAACTATCATACATTATGGGCCTAACGAGCAACATACAATTGACATTCTCACTCCACAGCAGTAGTTATTTCTCTCAAGAACAGGGTACAGAATTCAGTCAAGCATTCTATAATGACAGATGAGGTTGTTAAAAGCTCCATCAGCCTGTGTGTGTGTGTGTGTGTCACTGACAGTGTTGAGAGATAGAGTGATCATCTGTGAAATGACAGGCACTGAGAGTCAGTGAAGCACACACACACGTATGTACGTGTGTATGTGCATACGAGCATGTACTGTATACATAGAAGGTTAGACAGAGGAGTGGACTGGTGACTGAGTGACAGGGATATGTGGATGAGTATGTACACAGACAGGCAGTAGCGCATTAAGTGCTGGTTTTGGTGAAAGTAACTGAGGTAATAATAATTATGAAAATAATTTGGTGTCGTACACACACACACACACAGACACACACACACACACAGACACACACACGTGATGGAGCTGGGGGACACTGCAGAGATGTGAGAGATCATGGGATGAGAGGGACTGAATACTGACAAACAGATGAGAAGAGATGTAGAATGGTTTATTCACATAGCAAGGAGATCCTGTCTGTCATCAGACATAACACAATAAATAATATAGATGGCAGCTAAAGCGCATTTCCCCATCCAATGAACAAACACGCACAGTCTGCATATAAGACAGATGAATGATGTGACAGTGGAACACAGAACAGATGAATGATGTGACAGTGGAACACAGAACAGATGAATGACGTGACAGTGGAACACAGAAGTACCTGTCCACTTCTTCTTGGTTTTAGCAGCATCTAGTCCTTGTTGTTTCTTCTGTTGCAGTGGAAGAACGATGGGAAACCACTTTTCGGGAATATCTTTCGGGATAGTCATTTTGACTCCCTTTTTTAACCTAACGGCACTCTAACGGAGTTATTCGCCCGATTGGTTTTCCCCGGTTCCGCTGAGCATCTTGCGCAGAGACGGACATATGCTCCGGGAGCTGCACCGAACACTCTCGGTCCGGTCCTGTCCCGTCTGCGTCTCCGGTTATAGATTAGGAGCGTCTCATACCATTACCGCTTCTCTCCCCCTCCCCCTCTCACTCTCTCTCTCACTTCTCTCTCTCTCTCTGCTGCAGAACCGCTGAGGTCATTGGCTGTGATGTTGTGCTGCCAGCTCCACTCTCTCTGTGATGCTGTAAGCGGTGCCTTCATGTCACTATTACTGAGACGCTGACGGTGCCGCTGACGGTGCCGTAACCGCACTGTAAATGACTGGAACCTGAAGTAGCATCATCTTCATCGGAGCCTATCGCCAAGTCTAATGATGGAAAGTTGTATTTATTTTCAACATAGGCTAAAAACCAATGATTTGAATGTAGGGGGCATCAGAATGTTATGCGATAGATCCCTTAAGCTACACAACTCTGATTCCGCTGATTAACTTTATTAATGTTAAATAACATTAGACTACACTGTAATAAAGTGATTAATATGATGATTTCTGGAATTTTATACAGTATATCTTCAAGGCACTATTGCATTATTGTGTAGCCTAATCAATTCCTTGGACGTGCCTTCCCTGGCACCAATAACATAAACATTGTCCTCCTCACAATAACACAGAGAAGCTGTCTCTGCATTACATAATCACCAAGGCTGTCCATTTGCAGAGGGTTTGAACCAATAGCAGGCTGTCGTTGATGTTGTCAGGGCAACTGCCTCTGCAGGGGTGTGAGAGAAGCAGGTCACTGCAGGGAGAAACTGGGCGCCATCTTGGATCTAGCCATGAGGAGGGAGATGCAGCTGTGCTGGCATATGGAGCCAAGGTGGTTCCCACAGCAGCCCAGTTGCCTGAGTGTTGGTAAGGAATGGGAGGGGAGAGGAGACACTGCAGCGGGGATAAAGGTTTCTGGGCACGTGCAGTGTGAGGGGAGTCTCGTGGCATTAGAGGACACGTCCAAACTGCTAAACAGACACTTCTTTCTGATTTATACACACATTCACACACACACACACACACACACACACACACACACGTGCTGCCATAGATCCATAAAAAAGCTTTTAACATTCCCTCGCTGTTGAACTGCGTCATAAAGTAAACACACACACACACACATTCTGCACTTGACCTTGGCTTGGGCATGTACTTACAGTAACAACTTGAATGTGCTTAGAGCCTCTCCAGTACCTACTCTACTGTTTGCCTCTCTCACCTACTGTCCTGAATACAGCATCTACCAGACTATCACTACTCCAGTCTCTACATGACAGAGACATGAGGCTGCTGCAATGCACTGTCCAGGAAGTCCAGTCTGTTTGTCAGAGACAACAACAACATGAAAGGGGCAATCTGCAGTTGCTACATTCATTTTTGGACTCACAAATGAATTATATTTACCCATTGATCTTGCAGAATATAACTTATAAATGCCTCACGAGCTTAGTTCAACCGTCGTACCTCATCAGAACCCAAAAAATAGGCTTGTTTTATCCCAATGTTTGTAAACAATATAAATGTAAACAAACACAGCTATAATGTTGATATCACGGGGCCTCCCGAGTGGTGCAGCGGTCTAAGGCACTGCAGTACTTGAGGCGTCACTACAGATCTGGGTTCGATCCCGGGGGCCGCGACCGGGAGACCCATGAGGCGACGCACAATTGGCCCAGCGTCGTCCGGGTTAGGGGAGGGTTTGGCCGGCCGGGATGTCCTTGTCCCATCGCGCTCTAGCGACTCCTGTGGCGTGCTGGGCGCATGCACGCTGACACGGTCGCCAGTTGTACGGTGTTTCCTCCGACACATTGGTGCGGCTGGCTTCGGGGTTAAGCGAGCAGTGTGTCAAGAAGCAGTGCGGCTTGGCAGGGTCGTGTTTCGGAGGACGCATGGCTCTCGACCTTCGCCTCTCCCGAGTCCGTACGGGAGTTGCAGCGATGGGACAAGACTGTAACAACTAATTGGGGAGAAAAAATAGTGAAAAGTATATATTTTTAAAAAAGATTACAAAAAATATATATTTTCCATGGATGGTCAGTCCTTGCGTCCAAACCTCTTTCTATGAATTTGTGAGTGGTTACATTTCCATCAATTTTCAAAAGGCAGACCATCAAAAAATCTGTGTTTTAAACCATTTCACCTGCGTTTTATATTGAAAGTCAACAGTGTTTTCTGCTTCAATAGAGTGATCAGGGGCGTGCAACTATAGTTTTCCTTCACAGAAAATACAGTATCAGTCAAAAGTTTGGACACACCTACTCATTCCAGGGTTTTTACTATTTTCTATCATGTAGTAAACAAAAAAGTGTTAAACAAATCAAAATATATGTTATATTTGAGATTCTTCAAATAGCCACCATTTGCCTTGATGACAGCTTTGCACACTCTTGGCATTAACTCAACCAGCTTCATGAGGTAGTCACCTGGAATGCATTTCAATTAACAGGTGTGCCTTCTTAAAAGTGAATTTGTGGAATTTCTTCCCTCCTTAATTCGTTTGAGCCAATCAGTTGTGTTGTGACAAGGTAGGTGGGGTATAGCACTATTTGGTAAAAGACCAAGTCCATATTATGGCAAGAACAGCTCAAATAAGCAAAGAGAAACGACAGTCCATCATTACTTTAAGACATGAAGGTCAGTCAATACGGAACATTTCAAGAACTTTGAAGTGCAATCGCAAAAACCATCAAGCGCTATGATGAAACTGGCTCTCATGAGGACCGCGACAGGAATGGAAGACCCAGAGTTACCTCTGCTGCAGAGGATAAGTTCATTAGAGTTACCAGCCTCAGAAATTGCAGCCCAAATAAAAGCTTCACAGAGTTCAAGTCACAGACACATCTCAACATCAACTGTTCAGAGGGGACTGTGTGAATCAGGCATTCATGGTCGAATTGCTGCAAAGAAACTATTGACATTAGACCGGTGGAAATCTGTCCTTTGGTCTGGAGTCCAAATTGGAGATTTTTGGTTCCAACCGCTGTGTCTTTGTGAGACGCGGTGTGGGTGAACGGATGATCTCCGCATGTGTAGTTCCCACCGTAAAGCATGGAGGAGGAGGTGTTATGGTGTGGGAGTGCTTTGCTGGTGACACTGTCTGTGATTTATTTGGAATTCAAGGCACACTTAACCAGCATGGCTATCACAGCATTCTGCAGCGATACGCCATCCCATCTGGAGTGGGACTATCATCTGTTTTTCAACAGGACAATGACCCAACACACCTCCAGGCTGTGTAAGGGCTATTTTACCAAGAAGGAGAGTGACAGAGTGCTGCATCAGATGACCTGGCTTCCACAATCTCCCGACCTCAACCAAATTGAGATGGTTTTGGATGAGTCGGACTGCAGAGTGAAGGAAAAGCAGCCAACAAGTGCTCAGCATATGTGGGAACTCCTTCAAGACTGTTAGAAAAGCATTCCAGATTAAGCTGGTTGAGAGAATGACAAGAGTGTGCAAAGCTGTCATCAAGGCAAAGGGTGGCTATTTGAAGAATCTCAAATATAAAATATATTTTGATTTGTTTAACACTTGTTTGGTTACTACATGATTCCGTATGTGTTATTTCATAATTTTGATGTCTTCACTATTATTCTACAATGTAGAAAATAGTAAAAAATAAAGAAAAACCCTTGAATGAGTAGGTGTGTCCAAACTTTTGACTGGTACTGTACATTAGTGCAACACATTCGACAGAAAATAGGTTCATTTTCATCAGATGACAACAGAAGTGCAACACTATTTGGCAAGCAGCCACACAAGTAAATGAGCTTACAATGAAAAAGCAAGGTATTTTTTGCATGGCCATCATATTTCTAATGTTTATCATAGAAAGAATGTAGCCAGGTACATTTCCTAATGTTTTGCTTGAAGTTTTTTTGCTCTTGCATTTTACAGGAGGAAAGTAGGCTACACTGAGAAAAGTACCAGAGAAAAGTTACTACATATCAGTCAGAGTGCTGTCTGCTGATAGAATGCCTGTTTGTGAATTCTCTTCCGAGTGGAGAAGTTCAACTGAAGCTCAAAATGAGTCTGATTCAGAGCAGAAATTACAATAAGAAGCATTTTAGATCTGCGTTTACAAAACGCAACAAGATATTTCTTATGCATTTCATCTATTTTTTCTGTGTGAAAAATTCAGAATTCTGCGTTAAAGCAACCCCTAAAGATTGACCCCTTAAAGGAAATGATCATCAGATACTACAAGAACTACACTTTAGTGATAAGCAACCCTGACTGACTCTCTAATGTCTTTTGGCTTTAGCTCCGTAGCTTGCGGTTGTTGTGGAGAGGAGGTCAAAGGAGGGTGAAGTGTAGCTGAGGTGGTTTGGTGAACTACTCTAGCTGAGTGTCCTTGTCTGACACCTGAAGACACGTAGCCTTATCTTTAGCTTGGTGGGCTAACACGGCACATCAACGACAGCAGAGCAGGGTGGGATTAGAGGTTGGAAAAGGCCACTGACCTGGGAGGAGGCCTCTCTTTTTGAACATTTCCACTCTGTGATGAACCTCCACTAGCCAATTGGATGTCTAAGGAGCGTGCGGGGGGAGAGGAGGAGGGGCCAGGGATGAGAGGATGAGAAGTAGGAGGAGGGAGGGAGAGGAGGTGTGGGGGACGAGTTTTGTAAGAGATCTTTTGAAAGGTTCTGAGTTCTCTCATTAGCTGAGTGCAGAAACCCCAAGAAACACAATGTCAACATCACACGGGTATTCATGGTCAACATGAGCTAATACACTTAGTAGGGACCTGAAATGATATCCCAGATTTTGACCCAGTCACTGTAATATGTTTTTCAGACCAATATCTGAATACACTTGACTGGGAGGTGCCTGGCAAAGAGAGCATCCTTGTGTTTCAAAAGGAATACTTTGTCGATTTTGAAACGCAAGGA